CCTTCGATTTTCTTTTGCTTTTCCAACATTTACGAACCCCCCATCCCATTTTATAGCATTTTTTTTTCTTTTTTCTTTTTTGATATCATGGAATCCTATATATAAATCGAAGCGTAAAAACCAAATTGGTTTTTCATATGTACATATGTTTGGAAAGGTTATATAAGTATGTAGTAAATATATGTATGTATATATAGTATAGCTTTGTGTGTGTATAGCATATCTTCTTCTTGTTGCGTTCGCTTGGCTCATAAATAAATATGAAATACATCCGACAGATACAAATATACAAAACCCATATACACACACAAAGCTAGAGATGTGTGTGTGTGTGTGTGTGGATAGAGACATTTATAATTTATTTATTTGCACTGCAATAGCAAAGAAAGGCGAAAAAGCAAACGAAAGAGATGGTGGAAATGTGGGTGGGGTAGGTATAGAGAGAAAATAGAGAAGAGAAGAAAATGGAAAAATAGCAGCTAATTTTTCTTTTGTATTATTATACATTTTTCCCCATTTATTTTCTCTTTTTTACTTAGTTTCCCTAGAGAGCTCTCCGGGTATGTAGATCTAGGCATGAGCTTTATTTTATTTATTTTAATTTTTAAAATTTATAGAATATATTAAAATTTACAACTTTTGCACAATCGACCTAACATTATATATCGGCTTTCAAAAATATATCAATTAATATATTTAAAATAATTATAATATTTTTTTTTGACCCCAGAGAGCATACAAAATTCTGTAACTTCCCTGAATCCTTTCCATTTGGTGCACTGCCAAAAGAAAAACTTAAGAAACAAGCAAGGGAAATGTTATAACACTGATAAGTCGCCTATTAATTACTCTATAGATTTTGTGGGAAATACTATAAATAAATATTTCAATATAAGGTTTTATTATTTTATTTTTGGTTTATTGAAAGAAAAACCCTTTTATATATTTTATAATTTAATTTTTAGTTTAATTAAAAAACCTAAACCCCTTGGGAATTGTAAGGCTTTTGCTTTGCTCTTTTAACTTATTTAAATAAATATTATAAATCAATTTAAAAATTAACGACATAAAAATTATCGAAACAAAAATCTTAATTTTAAATTAAATAAAATTTTTATAAAGTATCTTAACCCGAAGGGAGAGGGTATGACCAAAAAGGCAGTGCCAGAGTCCATTGAACCAACATGGGGGTGAGTTTAAAAGGCGGCTACCGGGGGCGGGGTGCTTGTAATGGGCCAAAAAGGATTGGGGGGACAAGGGGAATTGGGAAAGGGGATTTTTTTTTTTTTGGGGGAGGGAGGTTTCGATGGGAGGGATGTACGCAAGATACATACACATATATAGTTACATATATACACTTACAATTCCATGCAGATTTTTGGCTTCCACTTGTTGTGTGTTTTTGTGCTTTGTGTGTCTTCCTGCCTCTTTCGCCTCAATCGATTCCATTCACTAAAAAAAACCGTAAAAAAAATAATAAATAATGATGGCTGCCTAGGAACAAAGCGAAAACGATATACAGGCGTATGTATATGTATGTGTATGGTATGTATCTTATAGATACACCCAAAAAATGGGAAAAATTAAAAAGAAACCGGCGAGAAGAAACAACCGACAGAAAAATGAAGTCATAATAGTCGCGACAAAAAGGAAATAAAAAAAAAAAAAAAAAACGAATAACAGAAAATGAATATTAAAAAAAAGCGAAATAAGAACGACAGAAAGCTGAGATACAAATCTGTGTATCCGTTGGATACCGGAGTGTGTGTGTGTGTACGTCTGTGTTTTATATATCCAAATACATATACATACATATATATTATTTTGTATTTATGTGAGTATTTAATCTGCAATGATCTCCAGCTCAGAGACTTCTTGATGGGGGAAAAAAAGGTCAAAGTATCTCCCGCTCACTCGCTCTCTCTCTCTCTTTCTCTGGGTGCAACAAAAACAACTTAAAATAAGCACACACATACACGCACACACACAGTAACAGCCAAAGAGTGAGAGAGAGCCACTGTAAAGTTAAAGTCGCAGCTGGTTATGTTTACGGAAAAGAGATGGCCTTATCAAGAACAAGCAAGTGGAAGGGAGAAGTAAAGACAGAGAGAGAGGCGGGTGATAGGTGGTAAACAGTTACAATCGCATAAACCAGATACATACACAAAAGTATCTTTATTTTATAAGTACATATATACATATATATAATGTATATATAAAAAAACGCTGATAATTATTAATGCAAAATAAAATAAAAATCATTAAATCTGAAAGAATTGATTTTTAAGTTCACGTTTTTAATTTCAAATATAAAAGAAATACGTTTTGTATTTTTAAGTGTTATATGAAATTTAAATTTTACCTTGTAAATGTAAAATGTACTTTTTAAACACATATATTTAACAAAAATTAATATTTATTGATTTCTTTTAAATTGTTTTGTATTTTAACTAAAGTTGTTGTATTGACATATATTAAATCATCATTATTATTTTTTTTTTAGTTAAAAAACAGAAGCTTAAAAAATTGATTTCTTGCTTATATAGTTATTTTTGTGTTTTTTTTCGGTGTATTTATATTTATTGTGTGTTAGCATGGTTGTATGCCTGTGTTTGTGTGTGTGCGTGTGTTAGTACATGGCCAATATACAATTTTGTGCCATCGGCCACCAAAAACTGAGGGCCGCACCAACAACAACAACAACAACGAAACAACAACAATTGCAGCAACGAAGGTCGTCGCAGTCATTTTATTGTTGCCTCTGCCTCGGTCTCTGCCGCAGTCGGCGTCGACGCAGACGCAGACGTCGACAGCGATAGCATCGCAGAATTCCACATAGAAAATTGAGAAAACTGCATTAAATTTTCGTCTCCATTCGCCATTTTGCTCCCCCTCTCCTCTCAGCCTAGCCACCTCTTGTGCAGCAGCCGCAGCTTACTTCGCTCTCTCCCTCCCACTTTTTCGTCTCCTCTTACTCCGCCATTTCCTCACCCTTTTGTTTGCTTCTTGTTTTGGCTATGATTTTGTTGCTTTCCCATTCACTTAGCTAAAGTTTTCCTATGTATGTATGTAACTGTGTAAATATGTAAGTATGTATGTATGTATGTACATAAAAAATATACATATTCAAGCAAACACAATAGAAGTCAGGAATTTATGTTTATTTATTATTTGAAGATCTTGATATTTCACGATTTTTTAAATTTGTATTAATAAATAAATTAAAATTAAAAATTAATTTTGCGACCTATTATTGCGCCCGCTGCTGTTCTGTTTGTACATACATACATATGTATGTACAAATATGTATGTAAATACATACATAAAAGCTATTATAACTGTACATAGACAATAATTCCTCTGAGATAAACGATTTGCATTCGATGTTTTCAAACAATCATGACGAATTTATAGAAGAAATAAGATATTCTAATAAAGCCGTAGAAACGAAGAATAAGAGAAAGAGGATGTCGAAGAAAACAGCTGCAGAGTTTGACAAAAGAGTGAGAGGGAAGGATAAAGGGGGGCAACATCAGTAGAAGCAAGCGTTGCAAGGAGAAAGAGAGCCTTAAAAGAGAGCACGCCATCAAGGGTGGCTGCAAAAAGACAGCCCAGTTTGTCCCAGTCTCTCTGACCACCATTTTGATCTGATCTACTTGGGTGGAAAAGGAAAAGAGAATAAACAGAAGGTAAAAATAAGCAAAAAAAATAAACAAATCCCATAAATATTGTTATGCTGAAGAAGAGGAATCGGCAAAATCAATCAAGTGCGAGAAGAGGAAGCACAAACAAACAAAAATGGCTGGCAAATTAAAACAACATCAAGCTAACAAAAAAAATAGGTGAAGAAGCAGGGGAAGAAATACCAGCTGCAAAAAAAAAAGCGAAAACGATGAACGAAGGAAACCAAAAGATGCGATGGAAAAGAAGAAGAATGGAATATCGGATAAAACCAAATTAAAGAAAAGAGGCGAATGAGAAACAAAAGGTTGACGAAAACAAGTAGGAATAGCGCAAAATTGAGAGAGCAAAGAAAAGGAAATGGAAACACGTAGTGAAACAAATAAATAAGCATCAAACGCAGAATCAAATGAACAAAGAAAGCTGAAAAACCAGGAAAATGTTGAATATCAATGCGTTTTTTCTTCCCAAGCTTTCTTCTTGCTCGTTTCGTCTTTCTTTCATCTTCTCAACCTTTCTTTTCTTTTCCTCCATTTGTATTCTTTTCGTTCCCCTGCCTTTTCTTCCCCTAGCAAAGTCAACCCCGTGAAAGTGAGCAACAATAAACCGTCCAACCCCCGTTGCCCCGCCCACGGCCCCTTTTCTTCCACGTCTTCTTCCTTTTACCAGCATTTCGCGTACACACATACTACACATTGACAGATATATACAGACATAAATATACATATATACATACCGTATATTAAGTGTGAGTGAGTGCGCTGTAGCGTTTCTCCGCCTCCCTCCTCCACCTCCTCTTTATTGCTGTATGTTCACGAAACGGGGCCTCGCCAAGAGACTATTCAAGTTGTGTGCCGGCAGACTAAAAAAAAAAAGGATAGAGGGGGGGTTAAAATATATAAAACATGAATAATAAGGAACAAAACACTTTAAAGATTAAAGAATTTAAGATGTTTTTTATTAAAAACCTATTTTTGTACTTACTTTACTTTTGATAATATTGGGATCGTTGTTCTTATAGCGGCTACGTCTTTTCTGCTACGAATTTTGGTAACTCTAAAAAATAGGGTCTCAAAATATATCAGCTTTGGGGGCCAGAGCCTGCTTACGGCAACACGGCTGTGGCAGCACACACTCATACACATACACATTAAGCTAAATTACTAGTAATATTAAAAAATATTTATTAAGTCTTTTGACTGAAATCAATGGTTTTTCAGTAAAAATTCAAATTTTAAAGTAAGGCGGCAAAAATTTATTAATATTAATTATAAATTAATCGATAATTGATAGCTTTCGCCATGTTCTATCGCCGCAAGCTGCCGCTGCTATTGAAACCTATCGCCTATCGCCGCATCGAGGGCGCAAAAACAATTGGAATTTCTGGCGACATGTGCGATTCAGCGACAATGACGTCTCCAGCGGATCAACGAAATGTGGAGATTAAAGCCCAAATACCAGGTGGAGCCGAGGGCTTCTCTGCGCGCCTGGACATTGCCCGTCGCCTGACGGGGAGCTCAAAAGCAGAAGAAATTAATCAGCGCGATGTGTTCTTCGAGTCGCCGCTGGGTGGACGTCTCAAGTTGAGATATCTACGGGCTCCGGCACGCTCCCAATTGGTGTTCTATGATCGTCCCGATGTGGCTGGACCAAAGCTATCCAAATTCAACAAGATCGAGATTGATGAACCGGAGGTTCTTGAGAAGATCCTTAGCCAGTCGAATGGAGCCCTCGGTGTTTTGGCCAAGAAGCGGCATTTGTTTCTGCATGGACAGACACGCATTCATCTGGATGAGGTCAAGGATCTGGGCTATTTCATGGAGTTTGAAGTGTGCCTAAAGCCAGAGCAAACGCTGGACGAGGGTCAAGTTATAGCCGAGGAGCTGGTGCGAGAGTTTGGCATTGAGGAGAAGGATCTGATGACTGGCTCATACTTTGATGAGCTTTTAAAGAGGAGCAAGAAGATGGTGACACCTTAAAGATGAACGGAATGTGGGGATTTATAAGATTCAAAGGAAGGGAAGTCCTTAAAAGGCATTAATATCTTAAGATTTATAAGATTTAATGCATTTTATAAAATAAAAATCCAAAAATAACAATAAATTTTTTCATTTTTATAAGTTTTATTGATTTTATTTCGTGAGTTGTTGCAAAAACACAAAGTCAACTTCAAGTCCTGGCAATGGATATTTACAAAATCGCTTCCGTTGACTTAATCTACAGAGTTTCCTTGGTTTTCCGTGAGAACAAAAACTTTTAAATACCGAATACAAGTTTATAATTGTATAAATGCAAAAATGTTTGAACACAAAAGGGAGGGAGGAGCAAGGTTTAAGGTAATGGTTGAAGGCTTCTAACTGTTAACTGTTACAACTAATGCTTACGAACTAGGACTTGAGGATTACACAGGGTGGCAACGAATTTGAGCCTTAAGGTTCTCGAATATAAAGCAAAGGTGTAGCTTCCAGCTAACCCAACTTCTTTGGGTTTCAGTTTGGAGCTTAGAGCGGCAGAAATTCGTAAATTAGTTTGGTTTTTGGGTGTTTTATGGCGCTTAAAGCTACGAGCTGGGGAAGAGTATGGTGTGGCTTGGAGGGTATACCCCCTCTCCATCTTTAGCAGTAGGATCCAATGAGGCTGATGGACAGCGTTTCAGAAATGGGATCCGGTGCAGAGATCGGTTTCCAGTACAACCAATTGTAACTGACTGCAAAAAACACACAAAAATAATTCTAGAAAATATAGCAAAAAAACAAAATTCCCCATTTGAACAAGAACGATACTCACGCACATAGGACTGGGTGAGCCGCAGGGACAGAGTGCGACACCGGTGCCGGCACTCGCTGGTGGGCCTTAGTATTATAAATCTGGTGCCCACCGCCTGATGGACATACACATTGGGACATTCCGTTTCCGGCAGTGTATAGGCCGGCGCCTGGGCCGTATCAATGGCCACATACCTTTCCAGGGCCACGCCCATGCTGGGCAAACGTGTTGGCCTGGCAAAAATCGGCCGGAGGAGGCGGGCCGGCAGCATTCGATTGCAACGCCACAAATTATGCGCCTGCTGTGTCCATCTAGGCGGCGGCGGCGCACTGCTATTAAACTGCCCAAACAGATCCTCCAGATTGTGAACACCTTGATTGGTGGAATGCACCCGATAGGCATCACGCTGGAAGATCTTATGATTGCTTGCATAGATGTTATAAAAGTCACCCAGATCGATGGCCTCCTGGTGGCTGCGGAAGGCAAATGGAGCGGCAGTATCAATACCACTGCCACCGGGCAGCTGATGATGCTCCTCACCCTCCAGCCAGACGCTCTCGACATTGGCACAGGGACCGCAGCTGAGATCCTCCACCTGGAAGAACGGATTACCCATCAGGCAGGATTCGTCATATAGCTCGGTGAGCTGGGGGAAGCGCTGGATTAGCGGCATGGTCATGCGGCGCCACATTCGCATGCCCGGATACACCATGGACTGGACGACGCGCTCCTGATGGCCACCGGGACTGGTGGTCTCATAACGATAGGCGGCCACGCATAGCGATACCAGTGTCAAGTAGAATAACCAGCAGAGGATTTGACGCCGCCGGTCGAGCAGATGATGCAGTACCTCCAGTTTTAGATAGGTCATTAGGGGTGCCGGTGGCATTAGGGGGGTGATGCCCGCCTGCCAGTTGCGGTGGCGAAAGTATTGGAACAGCACATAGTTGTCAAAGCTCACCGAGCGCACCTCGCAGCGGGTTTCGGCCAGGCGCCGCAATTGATGCACTGCGCCCGCATAGCGCTGCAGCAGCTGCTGGCGGCTAAGCTGCACAAAGTTTAGGTCCACCTCCAGGTCGTAGTTATCCATGTTCTCCTGCTTCCACCTTCCTGCTTTGTTTGTGTTTGTTTTCTTTTCGTTGTAGCTTTTTTTGTTGTTGTTTTTTTCCCCTCGTTCGATTTCACTGCATTGTTTCGGTTCGTTGTTCTTGTTGGTTTTCTTTTTGTTTTGTTTTTGGCCTTTCCTCTTGGAAGATTGTTTCGGCTTTAGGAGTGGCCTTTGCACTGCCTATTTTCCTGCACAAAGCCACATAATTATTTTATCTTTGGTCTTTGCAAAATAAAAATAACAAAAGAAAAACAACAGCGAATTTTGGTTTATCGATGACTCGATAACGATGACAAACCTGGCGGCAGCGGCTCCTGTCTCCTCACTAGTCTTCTGGTATATCTGGAAATATTAAGCTCATTTTGAAAACAAAACAGCAAAACAATAAAACAATAAATTAATAATGTAAATTTGGTTTGATTGTTACTTCAAGGGAAATTTTATTACATATATTTATTTTTATTATTAAAAATTATTATTTTCTTTTAATTAATAAAACAATACATTATAAAACGTTAATTTATAATATTAATAACCAATTTGGTCTGCCGATGTTTCTGATATATCGATTGTTGCGGTATCGATAGACCCCTCAAACAATCGCTTGCAGCGCTGTCCTCTGTTTACAGTTTTCTTTGTTTTTGTTTTTGTGATAACAGCAAATACGACGAAGAAAGAAGAATAAGAATAATGGATAATAAAACTCGAAAACTTTGAACAATAGAAAACAACAATGGGCAGCTACGAGCAACTTTTAAAGGAAGTCAAGGTTGCTGCCAGCCAGGAAAGTAAAGCAAAGAGCCGCCACCCCTTGCGGGCGGCTCTGATTGCCTGGCTTCTGTTCCTGTCGCTTTTGGTGGCCTTCATCATGGCTCTGGGCTACCAGTACTTGCTGCGAGAGGTACCACTAGCCACCGAGGAGCTGGAACAACGCCTGGTTTGTTACTACGCCAGCGATGGAAGCCACCAACTTAGCCTGCTGGACGTGCCCGGTGATTTGTGTACGCACATCAACATTGGCCCCGCCAGCCTGGACAATGGCACAATTGTTCTGCCCGCCTCGTTGGTCCAGGTGCTAAGCAATGACAGTCGCCCGTTCAGGGAGTCCCATCCGCAAGTCCATCTATTGCTTTGGATTGGTGGTGCGGATAGCGGCCAGCAGTTTGCCCTGATGGTGGCAAATCATGCAATGCGTAAGGTGTTCCTGCGTTCCCTGCGGGAAATACTCCGCACATATCCCAGTTTGGATGGCATTGATCTCGATTGGGAGTTCCCCAGTGCCTATGACGAGGAGCGAATGCATCTGTCGCAGCTGCTCTATGAGATACGCACGGAATGGCGGCGGGAGAAGCGAGAGCAAGATATACTCTCACTGGCAGTGGCCGCACCGGAGGGCATTGCCATATATGCCTACGATATGCGAGAATTGAATCTCTATGCGGATTATGTTAACCTGATGGCCTATGATTTCCATTTCTATCGCCGGGACACACCATTTACGGGCCTGAATGCCCCACTGTATGCTCATGCCAGTGATCGCTCCCTGATGGCCACATTTAACATTAATTACACGGTGCAGTGGTGGCTTAAGAGCGGCCTGGAGCCGCATCGTCTGGTGGTGGGCCTGCCCACCTACGGGCATTCCTTCACGTGAGTCCAAGACCTCCATTTCTTCTATAATTTTATAGAGTTTTTTGGCAGCCTGGTAAACCCGCTTAACCATCGGATTGGAGCACCTGCCTCGGGCTTTGGCCAATGCGGCCAACTGGGCTTCACCACGCTCTCGGAGACCTGCGAGTGCGCCGCCAAATTCATCAGGCCCAATTATATGTACGATCCGGAGACCTGTTCGCCGTATTTGAGCGCCTTACAAGAATGGATTTCGTATGAGAATCGCACGAGCATAGAGTGCAAGGCCAGTTATGTGAAATCCCTGACGCTGGGCGGTGTTATGGTCTTCTCTTTGAACACCGATGATCTCAGGAACTCTTGCCGGGATCAGCGGGTATCCAGAAACCCCGAGAAGCCCGTTTTTCCGCTCACACAGGCTGTCAAGGCGATCATAAGAGGTAACGCTTTAATTTAGGAAAAACAGAAAAGATCGATGGTTGCTGCATTATAAATCTACATATATTTTAAGGATTCTAAAAAATCAATTTTCTGTTTATACATTTATATTGAAATGCGCCAAAGAAGAGATTCAACCTGGTTATAATTAATTTTTAGAGAAATTTTTGAAAATAATCGAGAAATAAATTAATCGCATTTCCGTGATATTTGTATATTTAATCTTAATTTGTATACAATAATTTAAAAAATTTGTAATTTCCATATATATCAAATTTTATACAAGAAATATAGTTTAAAGGTGTCTTAAATATTGCAAAAAAAAAGTCAATATAATTATTAATATGTTGATAATATTATAGTATTATTTTTCAAGTTTTAAATTTCAAAATATATCAAAATTAATTGTAATTTTTTGTTCAAAAAATGATTTAAATATTAGTAAAAAAAAGGATAATTAATTATCGATATTTTAAAGATAAATGCGATATTTTACGATATCAAGTAATATATATTTTTCGATAAATACCTTTAAAATGTTATAAAAATCAAAAGAAAATCAACAAAAAGAGAGTTAACAACTTATGTACACAGTCATAGACCATAGCTTTATATATTTACGGGTTGGTATTTCGTTTATATATATTTATATATGCATAAGTTTAAGATAAATTATCACAATCTATGAATAGTCCGAATAATAATAACTAGAAAGTGTCGCAAATCATAGATATTTATACTAAGTCGCATTTACATTGGGATATATTTTGTGGGAATGGAGGGGAGGGTAGAGAACACACTGCTACGAGTCAGTCGGCCATGTTGCACGCCGACGCAGACATGGCAGCGCAACAACCAACCGTCGGCGCTCCAGCGACAATCATGTTTGCTTTGGAACAAGTCTCAAATTTGGCGGCGGTGCGGCCAGCAGTTCATCAATTTGCAGCTTATAGGCGGCCTTTAGTTCCGTCAAATCAAGCTCCAGCTCATCGGTGCGCTCCACCTTCTCGCCATACATTTGCAGCAAGGCATCATAGCGATGCTGCAGGTCCACATACTCCCTTTGCATCTCCTCAAACTCTACGACTTTTTCCTTTAACTGGAGAAGAGAGGATTAGAGGGATTCAAAGGTAGAAGTAACTACCACTTACCGCCTCCAGTTCAAAGGTCACATTGGATATTTCACCATCCAGGACATCACGTTCAGCTCTTAGGCGTGACAATTCCCATTGCAAATGATTTAGCTCACCATCGCGTTGCTTTAGCAAAGCCTGCAAATGCTCCAACGTGGAGGTGGTGGTGTTTCCGGCCAAAAAATTTAGATGTACACCCTGAATAATCCCCGAGGGCTGGCGGCCCGAATTGGAAGCACAATCAAGGTCATCCTGATGGGGAAATCAACATGAATTACCAGGTAAAAGTACAGTATCTCCGCTTACCGCTAGCCAAGCCTCTTCCTCATCATCCACCACCAGGCTTAAAGGCGGCGAGGAACGACCAGCTGCTCCTGTTTGGGATTTCATTGGCTGCTGCTGTTGCTCCATTCTTCCAGCCAACTCAACGGCTTCCATGGTAAGCAAACTGCTTTGGGGTTTCAGGTGAGTCTCCGCCTTAGCCACTTGCTGTTGCTGCTTGGTTAGCTGCTCTAGGTCAGCTATGGTCTTGGCCTGCTGTTGGATCTTCTCCTCCAGCAAGATAATTTGTCTAAAAAAAAGAAATTTAAAACTAGAAATAAAACTTAAAACAGTAAAACTTACTTTTTAAAATCACTATCCTTGCCCGCAGCATTGGCCTCCTGTTGACGCAACTCTCTTTGCCCCGTTGTGGCCTCCAGCTGGGCATTTGATAGCTTCTCCTCCACCTGAGAGCAGCGTGTGCTTAGCAAGGCATACTTCTCCTCCTGCACTGTATTCAAGTGCGTCAAAGAACGCAATTGAACCTCAGCAGCATCCAATTTCTGCAGTAACTGCTGCTCCTCACGATTCCAGCCCGCTGAACGTTGATCCAAAGTACGCTGAAGATTCTCTATTTGCCGTATGAGGGGACTTGTGATGGCACTCAGCTCTTGGGTAGAGCTTTCCGCCCGCATTTCGGCCGCTTCCAGGCGTCGTATTAGCTGTCGATTCTCCTCGCGCAACTGTTGTTCCCTGCGCACCAGATTGTGCTCGGCCAGACGCAGCTTTTCCCGCAGATCCGTGTTCTGTTGGACATACTCATCGTGCTCGGCCCGCATACGCTCTTGCTTGAGGCGTGCCTGCTTCTGGATATCCGATTCGAGGCTATCGAATTTGATTTGTAGGGCCGCCAGTTGGGATTGCAAATCCTTGATGCGGCCACGTCCCTCGGCATAGTCATCGTCGGCACGCCTTTTTTCGGCTGTCATCCGGCACACGGCCTCGATTTGGGTGCGTTCCATCTCCTCCTTGGCGGCCAGGGAACGCTTCAGGCGCTCCGCTTCACTGGACAGCTGGGAGATTTGCTCACCATTCTTTTTCAGCAGTGTGTCTGAGGTTTTCTCCTTGGCCCGCAGCTTCTTGATGATCGTCGATTGCTGGAGTATCTCCTTGGAGAGCTTCTCCCCCTCCGACTGGAGGCCGGCAATCATTTCGTTGCATTCGATCAGCTCGTCCTTGGGTATCTTGTTTTGGAGCTCATCGCGCAGGCTTTTGATTTGAATGCGCAGGGCATCGCGCTCTCGGATGCTGGCCTGGAATTTCTTCTCCAAGGCGGACAGACGCTGCACAGTGTCATCGGCCGCCTCGGGGCTATTGGCACTATTGGCAGCCGCCTCGATGCGGGCGCGCAGCTCTTGGTTAAGCTCCAGAAGCTCGGCATTCTGTCGCTCCGACTGCAGCAGACGCTGCTCACGTGCCTCAATCACCTGGTTCAGCTCGCTGATGCGATGTACCAGCTTGTCCAGCTCCGATTGCTCCGAGTCCTCCGACAGCAGCGAGATCTCCGAGGGCTCGCGATGATGACCCTTGGACTTTAGAGCACTGCCAGAGGAGGTAGCCGCTGCTGCTGCTGCTGCTGCCGCCTTGCCCGCCGCTGCCAGCTCCTTGAACTTTTGGGGACTCGTACGCGTCGTGGTGCTGTTGGTGCTGGAGTCGCCGTTCGGATTCGAGATGATCTCTATGTCCGAGGATGTGGAGGAATAGCTTTGGTCCACCATCATCTCTGGCTTGTTGGAGTTGGGGCCACCCGTGGCCGGGGACTTGCCAGAACTGGAGGCACCCTTGTGGCTTAGCTGCATCATTTGGATGTCCTCGAAGCTCTGCGTGGAATCGGAATCGGCGCCACCGGCGGTCACATTGCCAGCTGTCTGGGTGTCGCTGAACACCAAGGCCTTCATTGTCTTGGTGGAGTCTGTGGGGGTGGAAAGAGGGGATATTTTTATAATTATTTTTATTATTTTTATATTATTTTTTTTTTAATTGTAATTATTTTAATATTTTGATAATTAAATATTTTAAAATTTTAAATATTTAATATTTTAATTTTTTCATATTTTTATATTTCAATATTTTATTATTTCAATATTTTAATTTATTTCATATTTTAATAATTTAATATTTTAATATATTAATATTTTAATATTTTAATTTTTTTCATATTTTTATATTTAAATATTTTATTATTTTAATATTTAAAAATTTAAATCTTTTAATTATAAATTAAAATTATATTATATTATAAATGAAAAAAAATTATAAATTTAAATTATAATATAATTATAAATTCATTTTTTTTAAGTTTATAAAATAATTAAAACTTTCTTTCCGTATTCTAAAAAAAATGTAATTCCTTTTGATAACTTATTCGATATTTTATCCAGATTTTTCGATAGGTTTTCCGATTCCTTGGCTTCCTGAAACCCTTTAAAGATCCCTATCTCCCTACTCACCCTCCACAGAGTCTTCCTCCAAGAGTCTGTCCAGACTTCTTGACTTGTGGATATCCCGGGAACAAGGTAACAAACTTAAAAGCATATAAAATAACTTGGGAATGGCGGACAGGAGACTAACAATGTCCAGTTTGTTGATTTTTCTGAATATTTAGAAACTGATGCATAAAACAAAGCTCTCTAATAATGATTTACAACTAAAATATCTCTCTTTTCCCTCTCGTAATATTCTAAGCTATACCCACCATTAAGATGATCCTCCATGTGCCGTTCCAGCTGCGTGCCCTCGTCCTCATCCTCATCATCTTCCTCGTCATCCTCGCCATCGCCCTCGGCATTATCCGAGGTATCGTTGCTGGCAATGATCACAATGCTGTCGGGCAGCGAGGGCTCCGTGTCCGGCGACAGCTCCATTTCCATCTCCAGCTCACTGGCCGTGGTGGCCGTGATAAGTTCCAGCGATGATTCCGAATGGCGTTTGTTGCCAGCGGAGACGGAGGCGGAAACCGAAGCCGAGACAGAGGCAGAGACCTCCTCTACGGGGGATGTGGGCGAGGAGAGCAGGTCCACTGAATCCGAGGTGGCCGACTGACGCTTGGCGTACGGTGTCGATGTGGATGTGGTGGCGGCGTCGCTGGCCCTGGGCGGAATGGTGACCATTTCGTTGGCATGCGGATTGTCAAAGAATGTGGGCGTGTCGCCGGCGGCGGGGGTGGCAGGAACCGAGGAACTGGAGGAGGATGTGCCTGCTGCTCCCTCACTATCTTTAAGCTGCCCACCACCGCTGGCACTAGATGCAGCTCCTCCTGCTGTCTTGTCCGCTTTGTCTGTGACCGCCGCCGCCGCCGCTGCCGCCTTGCTATCATCGTCCTGGATGTCCAGGGCCTCGATCAGCACGGTTTTGGCCTTTTCGAACCAGCTCATAGCGCCGAACAAAAACAACAAATATCAATACTGTTTACACCCCCGCGGCTGCTGACGTCGTCGCAGTTGGCTGCTGCAGCTCCAACACTACACACGCTGATTGGTAACTGTAAATAATGCACGAAAATACTACTCCTACATGTGTGTGTGTTTGTGTTTGTGTATCGATATCTCAGGCTCATCACAGCTGGTTTTGGCCAACCGATAATCGATAGACCAGTGCGATATACGATCGGTCGGCTGTCATCGCTACTATTGATAGTGACATCGAATGTTTTTGCATCCCTAGTACACATAAAAACGAAACGAAAACGAAACGAGAAAAACACACACGGCAGAGGGGAAAACGGTCATTTAAATTGAGAGTGTGTAATCAAGGCAGATTGGTTGGCGGTCCCGTTGTTACCCGTTGTCTCCGTCGTCGTTGTTCGTTGTCGTCACACCTTTAGATTTTTGTGCGAGTGCAGAGCGCCAGCACAATAAACACACAGAGAGGGAGAGAGAGAGAGTGCGAGAGAGAGGCGGAGAGGCAAATAGTAGGCGCTAGCATTACAATTGGAATTGGAGTTTGGGCATCGAAATTAATATTAAAAAAAAAAGGAACAGCAGCATTAAGCAGAAGCAGCAACAGCAACAGCAGCAGCAGCAACAATAACAAACCAATCAAGAACTACGCACCGCAGCGTACCCCCTGCGTTATCCCCCCCTCCTTCTCCTTCTCCTTAGCCGCAGCCGAACCCGGCCACCACCCCCCCTCCGCACACACACACACTGGCCCCCCCCTCCTTCTCCTCCTTTGGCAGCAGAGAACAAACACACACAAACACACACGCACACACAGAAAGACCTCAGCACTCAGCACAGTTATCATCCGAGCGACAAACCGACCGCATTTATCATCCGCACATCACACACACACGGCTGGCTATTGTTGTCTGCTCCCTATCGTTACGATTGCACGCGAAGAAGGAGCAGACAAAGAGAGGAGCAAAAGCAACAAGGCAAGGGGCAGCCAGGAGCAAGAGCACACAAAGGAAGTGCAGCAGCAGCAGTAGTAGCAGCAGCAGCATTAACACAGAGAAAGCTCCTCTCAACAGAAAGATCCTAGCAAGCAGCCCAGCAGATCCCCCCACTGTGAGAGCCAGCTCCGCCAGCAGCTCCTATGGGTCAGAAGGCGAGCACACCGGCGACCAGTGGCCAGCAGAGCCCACGCTCCAGGACCTTCTCTAGCAGCTCAACGGGAGCAGCGGATCAAGCACCCAATGCCGTTGGCCAGAATCGCAGCAGCAACGCTGTTCATGCCTCGGCAACCGGCGGAGATGCCGGGCAAGGATTCAATCTGCTGCGCACATTGCCCGGCCTGCAGGTGTATCACAACAATAGCAACAGTAGCCAAAACTCCACGTCCATAGATAGGCAACGGGCGCGCAGCCTTAGCTCCGTGCCAGATATCCAACAGCAGCAGCAGGCGGCGCAACAGCAGCAACAGGGCTCGCTTACCTCCTCCGGCAGCAGTCCGCATGCCGTGCACAGCCATGGGGGGCATCATCCGCATGCCGCTGTCTCGGTGACCGTGTCGGCGAATGCCAACAACGGTGGCAGCACCGTTGGCGGCAGCTTCCCAGCGTCAGCGACGGCAGGGAACAACAATGGCAGCGCCACACAGACCTACATGCAGCAGCGACGCACTTTGGGGGACTCCATACGGGTGAGTAAGGTGATCCAGGGGAAGGAAGTTCCCAGAGGGTTGAGAGAGGGAGCTAGGGGTTTCCCTAACCTTGAAAAGTGTGTTCAGAAAGCAAAGAAATATTTTACATTTTGCTGAATTCATTTAAATTAAATTTAGTTTAATGTATTATTTAATTTAAATGCAATTTATCATTAAAATAGTACAATTTACATTTTTATTTTGGATAAAAATTAAGGGAATAAATTAAAATTTTTTTAATTTTAGGTTGAATTTTTGTAAAAATTAAAGGAAAATTAAATTTAATTTAATTAATTTATCTTTTTTATCTTAAATTTAATTTAATTAATTTAATATAATTTTATTTAATCAAATCAATTTAAAATCATTAAAAAAAAACTACAAAATATATGCAAAATATCTTTATATTTAAGCCACTTTTCTAACAATTTAAATTATATTTTTCCCCTAAATTTCCTCCGCAGGACATAACAATGACTGGCGGCAATATCGCTGAAAGCATCGCTTTGGCCGCCTCCGCCACCTCCGCCAATGGGATCGGTCGTGTTTACACCGCCACCTCGCTTCCATCGCACATTTGGTCCTTCAATGGTGAGTAGTATTTACCTGGCACCACCGCCGCCATCTCGTCATCATTATCATTATCGTCTTTGTTGCATTCCCCGAATAATTGCAGGCATCAAGTGCCCCGTGTGCAATAAGTTTGTGTTGCCGGACGACATTGAATGCCATTTAGTCATGTGCCTAACGAAACCACGACTCTCATATAACGGTAAGCGCAAATGGGACACGGATTCCCTCTGTTATTTATTTATTTATTTATTATTTTTTAACATTTTCAGAGGATGTACTGTCGGACGCCAAGGGCGAGTGCGTCATCTGCCTGGATGACCTGAGTCCGGGGGACACTATTGCTCGGCTGCCATGTCTCTGCATATATCACAAGGGGTGAGTGTTTAGACCAGATTTAGGTTTTAGTTTGGTTTTTTAAAATTAAAATTATTAATTAATTTTATATATTTTTATATTTATATATTTTATATTTATTTATTTTGTATTTTTTTATTATTGAATTCTTATATTTTATATATATAAATTTTTATATATTTTTTTTTTTTTTATATTTTATATTTATATAATTTATATTTTTATATATATGTTTATATATTTTTATATTTCATGTTTAAATGTTTTATATTTATATATTTTTTATTTGTTATTTTATATTTATATGTTTTATTTTTATGTATTTTTTATATTTATATATTTTCTATTTATTTATTTTTTATTTTTATATTATTAAATTCTTATATTTTATATTTATATATTTTCTATTTTTATAACATATATTTATATATTTTACTTTTATTTTATATTCTTCTTATTTATATTAAATAACCAATTTTTTTATTTATTCACCAGATGCATCGACCGTTGGTTTGAGGTGAATCGCTCCTGTCCTGAGCATCCTGGAGATTAGTAATCCTCGCCAGGTAAGTGCCTCTCCAGGCGTCTCCTAATTGGCATGTGTGCTGAGCTGATGGCTGGATTAATCATGGTTCCAGCTGCTGTGAATTATACTTGACTTTAATGCCACTTTTTTTCTTGTTTTTTGCGCATTTGCATTTTGTAATTGCAGAGCTCGCCGCCGCCGCCGCCGCGTTTGTTTGTGTTGTGCGTTATGCAAGAGCGAGGAGTGAAAATTGAAATAAAAAATGGAGCTGGCCGTTGGGTGTGGGAGAACGGAACGAAACGAAACGGTAGGGGGCGGGGGCTATACCGGACCCAGAACAAAAAATGTTTAGCAAGTAGGTATTTCTAAATCGAAAAACCGATGATTTGTAGGGTTTTCCTTTCAATATCTATCGATATCATTCGATAACTTAGGCAATAACTTGTAATTTCAGCTAAGAAACACCCGCCGCCGTCGCATCCGCCTTCGCAGACGCAGCTGGTTTAGAAGAACACAGCAGAAACGAGTTGAATTCGAGGATAGAGAGTAAAGAGTATGAAAGATGGCGAGGCTAAAGGCCTAGAGAAAGAGTATAAGATCGAAAAATCATCGATTATATTTCGACCCTACCGATCGTATCCACAACACAACACAACAAATTCAAGTAAAACCAAATTCATTTACAATGCCAAACGGGCAGCAACACAACAAAACAAAAAACAAATAAAATACAATTAATAAATTAAAACAAAAAAAAAAAAAAAGAATACAACCAACCCACAACAACAACAAAACTACAAAAAACTACAAACCTGAAAAAAAGGAAGGTAAAGGAGGGGATGACGACGGGAGGAGAGCTGGAGGAGCAGAGAAGCTGGGGAAATGTGTAAAGCGAAGCAAACCAACCAACCAACAAAAGAATGTCAACCAATGTGATGTTAAATTTTACATTTTGTACTATCGATAATGATGTAATTGTAATTGTAACTATATTTGTAATTGTATATGTATATTATATGTATTTATTATTTTAAAAGAACAGGACTAAAAACTAAAATCTAGGATATAAACACAAAACAAAAAGGCAAAACAGCAAACACCCCACACACACACACAAAATAATAACAATAACAAAGAAAAATACTATTAATAATTATGCTAAATTAGAAACAAAAAAACGAAAAGGCAAAGCAACCAAAAAAAAAGCAAAGCAAAAACAACAAATTGGAACGAACGAGTAGCGAGTAAAATTCGGTGTGTATTTCCACGGTTTTTTTTTCTGTTGTTCAACAAAAACGCTGGCACTCGCTCGCTCAATGACTAGCGAGTAACTTTCGGTGTATATTTCAACGTTTTCTCACACTCTCTCACTCAATTCAATGCCCAGTGCCCCAGTGTGTTTATGAATTAGTTAATAACTAGTTATGCATATGTTTTAAATTAATGTAATTCCTCTTTTTTTATAATACCCCCCACCCTACCCCCATGTTTGTTATCAACATATTTTGTTTGTGTTTTTTTGTTTAACAAAAGAGAAGAAAAAAAGTTTGTAAAATTGACAAATGAAAAAAAAGGAGGAAAATATTTTAAATATTCTTCGTTTTTTTTGTGAGAAGTTCTGGTCAGCAAAATCCAATGGTATAGGTTTTTATTCTGTTGCAAGGAGCTTCATGGGCGGCACCGCGATCCTCCCTCTGTCCAGGACAGCGGGAGTTCCTCCGGTCCATTTAAAGCCATATTTGATAGTCGTTATCATTATAATTAACTACTGTATCCTGTATCCTGTATATTTACCATCATTTATGTATACTATTTCCCTTTGTTTTATCCTTGCTCATCGATGATTATGATATGTAATATGTATAAGAGCGACAAAAGTTTCCTTAGCAACGGGGGTACATATTTTGTAAATGAAAATATATATAACTTGAAAAATGTACTGTACAGATTATACAAACACACCACGACGCATGCATGCATATATAACGACTTGTATATGTATGTTATATACATATATAAAAAAAATATATATATTGAGATAAATTGTAACTGTATAACTATAGCGTTGCCTAATTGAGCGATCGAAGGATACACACACACACAACAACAACAACAACTGATTTCAATTCGAAACTAAAAATAAAAGCCAAGAAAAGTGCGACAACAAAGTTTTCTACATTGTTTTATATTTCTATTTTGTATTTGTTGTTCTTGATTTTTTTTGTATTTTGTCGCAAAAAAATTGGTGTAACTCTAATCGAAGAATATTTGAAACTTTTATAACCCAACCAAAGCGGCGAATAGAGCAAAGAGTATAAGAAACCAGACGTTTTAGCATAACGTTGGCGAAAATGTAACGAGTAACGAGTAAAATGCAAGTGAAACGAGATGAAAACTTTAGAAAATAAACGAGTGATTCTATATACCACACAAATGTAGTTTATTGTTATTATTATTTTGCTAAAAACAAACGACGATTATGGCTTGAAGAGTAACAAGTAACGAGAGAAAAAAATAGTACAATTTGGAGAGTAAACTCTGGCGATAGATTACTTTATATTTTATATCTTTTCAACCTGTAACGAGTAAGATGTAGCGAGTAACCCTTGAAAATCCCAGTAAAACAATTTCAATTTTTTATATATTTCAGCATTGCGTTTATTCATTTCAAATAACTAAAAACGAGAACAGGAAGCAGAACTGGCTTAAAACATTGCTGCTTTTTGTCCAGCTCCAAACTGGAGACCTGGAATCGCGTCCATATATATATAGGGGGGGAAGGGGTAGGGGGGTATAGTCTGTTAAATATATACGTATGTATATACCTACGTAAATGGTAGATTTAATATTGCTACACGATGAAATTTGGTAACACAATTATCGGCTTACAGTTAACATTGCTTCTTTCTTTCTTTTTTTGTGGGTTTTTTGAGCTTAACTAAAAAAAAAGAGGGTAGGGTAGGTAGGTGTTGGAACAACTTTGGCTTAAAACAAAAAACTACATTTAAAAAAAACGAAAAAAAAGAAACTAAGGAAAAGAAACTGAAAAAAAGATAAAATCTTGAGCCTGGAGGAGCCTGCTGACACAACAACAATGTTGAAACCTGGGATACCCGCCGCCATGAAACGTCCAGTTCTCTATATATCTTTGGACATGGTTCCGGGTTAGAATATCCGTTGGATCATAAAAGATCCTGGGCATTCTCTCACTCGCTCTTACTCTCTCTCTCTCTCCCGGAGTGCGGCTTTTGTGTTTCGTCATCATTTTCGTTGTCCGTCTTCCGTCGTCGTCTATCGCTTAAGCAACTACACTTGGTTTGGGAGGAGGTGGCGGCCACACACTCGCCAGTGTTCCGCCAAGGCCAAGGCCTTGTTTGTAACCGGGAGGTTAGCCAGCCTTTTTGAGACCAAGACCAAGACCGAGACCGCGACCAAAAAGGAGATCCTAATTGCCCCCGGAAATTGTTTTGATGTGATGTCAAAGAAGCCGCCGAAAAGCGGCCAATCTGGTTTGGACCGACCTAGACCCATGGTGTCCAGCCCTCGTAAAGGACAGCCAGGTTATCCGGATTGATGGCCTCGCGTATGGCATAGTCCACCTGTTCGGCCACAGTGCTGCGTTGATTGCCATCCGGATCGCGACCCTCCAGCTTCATTCTGATCTTTTTCCAAACGGAAACGCCATAGGCATTGCGTTTTTGCTCGTGAAGATTAGAGGCACCTATAGAGAGGAGCGGGTATAATGGTAATCTCTCTGGGTCTTCTCTAGTAACCAGCCTTGACTTACCCTTAACCTGCGTGGTGAAAGTCTCGTAGGCATCCGGCTCACCCACTTGCACCCGCTGCAGTTGCTCCTCCAGGCTCTTGAAGAACTCGCTCACCTCCTGGCCGGCCATGGCCTGGATGAGCTGCAGCTGTTGTCTCCAGCTCTGGAGCATAACGGGATGCAGGCAACGACGTTCGGCGCACATATCCTTGCGCAGATCCATGAGCCGCTGAAAGAGGGACTGCAACAAGCGCTGGCAATCGCGGAGATGACCACAAAGCAGCTGAAGATCCGTGGGGACTAGTTTGCCCTGACCCTGAGCCTGGGCCTCGGCACAGAGGCTGCGGACATGAAAGCGTGGCATCTTCTCCTGCAGACGCTGTTTTGGGAGAGAGATTAGGAGAGATCGGGGATAGAGGAAGTGGGAAACCCCTCTGCCTACCTGAGTTTCCTTGACCAAAGTGCAGAGGAATCGATGCTTGCCCTGCTGTTCACACTCCAAGGCCGCCATTTCGCGCTGTAATTTGCATGTCTGCTCCTCGAGCAGCCCCTGAACATTCTCCAGCCAATACGAATCGATGGCACCCTCGGGATCCAGTAGTTCCACAATGCCCTGCTCCACCGGACTGATCCGAGAGCAGCTGGTCTGCCACTGGCCATGGGCAGCCAGCCAATTCTCCAAGTGTTCCACCAACAGCAGCTGTTGCTGTGGCTGCTGCTGCTGCTGCTCTAGCCGGGACACAGCTCCAGCGGCTTCTGCTAGCCGTTGTAGTACACTCACATGTCCTGCCACCTGCTGGGCCTGATCCTGTTCGGTTCGCAGGAAACTATCAATATGATTTCGATTCCAGTTGCTGCGCTGCGTCTGCAGGTGGCTAAGCTGTGACTCTAGTCCCGCCTGGAGTAGCTGCAAAGCAGCCAAATCTCTGTCCAATTGCTGCCAGCTTTCGCCAATGAGCAACGCCAGCTTGGGGCGGCTAACAATGTGATGGCCGCAAGGCAATTGCTGACCCAAAGCCTCCGAATAGGCCCAATATTGGGCCGAGGCGGCCAGGGTATGCAGCTCCACTTGCTGATTGAGGAGCGTCAACTCTGCCTGGCTTTGCTGGAGGCTGCCATCCGCTTGAAGCGAAATGAATAAACTCTCGCAGAGATGATCCGCTTGGGCGGCATCACCCAGGGAACTGCAATTCGCGGCGGGCTGACACTGTGGACCCATCGAAGTGTAGAAGTTGCGGGCCAGCAGAGGCAACAAGCCAGCCAAACAATCCGATTGGAGGCTATGGATGAGTCCCAGCATGGGGCGTGCCATCTCCCGGACATCGCAGGTGCGACTGGTCTCCAGGCTTTCGCTGATTAGGCCAAAGAACAGCTCGTCCTCCAGCTCCAGGCGATTCTTGAACAGGCTTAAGGCCTTCAAAAACAAGAATCTTATGCATAATGATCTTTAGGGGGTTTGGGAAATACTCACCAGTAGCTGCTTCTGCATCTGCATATCCTTTCCATCCTCCAGCAACATTTTAACACTCCGCATCAGCGCATTCAGCCCGGCGGAAGCCAACTGAAACTGCTCAAAGGCAGGCTGGAGGGTTAACATAAAGCGACGCTCCGCTGGCAGCTCCTCTGCCGGCTGATCTCGCTCTAGGGTGGCCTCGAAATACAACTGCCCCAGGCTAACCGAACTCAGATGGCACATGGCACTCAGCTGGCCCAGATTGGGCTGGAGCAACAGCAGCCGATAGATACTGCCTGGTAGCTCGTATTCAAAGAATTGCTTTAGATTCAACAAGGCGGTTAGCAGGCTCTCCATTTGCCCGAGATACAAATCATCTTGCATGGCCACCAGCACACCCTGGCACATGGAACGCACCAGATGGATAAAGTGCAGCTGATGCTGCAGTAACTCCTCATTCTCGGCAGCCAAGGCGGCCTGTTCATAGGCTCCAAAGGCTAAACCTGCTCGATCTAAAGTACGCACCAGGCTGGCCTTGAGCAGGAGCAGACTGCAGCCACTTTGACCTATGGCTGAAAGCAATGCCGGAGTAGTTGGACCCTGTTTGGCGGCATAACCTTGCGTGGCCTCCTGCAGCTGGCGGTTGTGATGCAGCCAGGCGGTTTCCAAGGCCTCGGCCACACCCACTACATCGGCGGTGCAAATGATGGAGCTGGAAGTTGAATTTGGTTGACTGGTGGTTCCTCCTCTGTTTTGGATGTAGGCCCCATAGCTATCGTGGAAGCGCACAAATAGATTCTGGCGATGGCTTTGCTCTGGGAAGAAGTTCATCACTGCCGCATACTGCTGCAAATGCTCGGATGTCTGGAGAGCTGTCTGATCCAGGCGGGTCATTAGCTCCTCCAACTGACCACGCATTCCCTCGTAACCCGAAAGCTTGAGCACCTCCGGCAAGGTGGCCTTAGTGCCTCCCCTATCCATCTCCATTTGCAGCTGCATAAGCTGTGAATGCAACTCGGCCAGGTGATATGGCTGCAGGCATTGGCCATAGCTGCTGAGGAGGCACTGCACCTGGACAAAGTCCGACTGCCGTTCGGCACTGAGCTTGGCCAGTGCCTCCGAGTGGCCACGACGCACGGCATGACGCAGGGAGGCCGTATTGAAGCTATGACTTTCGATGGCCGTACCCAAAGATTTGATTTCGGCAATTAAAGCGCTGCGCTGGTTGAGCTCCACCAGTTCTTGTTCGGCCGCCAGGCGTTGGGTTTGCACTTCCTGCATATTGCCCACCTCCTGGTCCATTTCCTGCAGCTGCATTAGCATCTCCAATCTGGAAAGAATCAAATGAAATGAAGAAAATAGTGGCAAACTCTTTACTTACTTATTGCCCGCCCAGTACTTCTGCAGGAGTGTCATCTTGGCCAAAAAGTGCTGCCGCTTGACATCCCAGTCGTGGGCCTTGCCCTTGCTCTTGTCCTTCTTGTAGCCCTTGAGCTCACCACCTGTTGTGTTGGTGACTGCGCTAGGTGCTCCTCCTCCAGCTGCCTGATGCTTGGCTCCTAGGGATCGACGTAGGGCCTGGGCATCATCGTTGGTCCAGTCCACCAAGGGATCGTAGACGAAGGCCTCCAGCAGGGTTAGAAGGGTCTCGCGCTCCTTGCGCATTACCTTAAGGACGTATTCGCAGCCTAGGCGGAAGGAGCCCTGGAAAAAATGGATTATTGATGATGGGAATTGTGGAAAGTGGTGTTCATTTTACAGAATGAACAAGTGGAAGAAATAAAAGTATTTACAATTTTTTCAAAATTTTTGTAATATAAAAAATTAGATTCTGATTTCAGTCAAAATCTTGCAACCTAGTGAAGGAGTCATTTCCGACTCCATAAACCATATATATTCTTGATCAGCATCAACAGGCGCGTCTTTCTAGACATGTCCCGAAAAAATTTAAATTTTTAAATTTTTTTCAAAATTTTAATTTTCAAAAATTTTAAATTGAGTATGCAGATTTTTTAACTGTAAAAAATCTTGCACAGAACAGTTTTCTGATTTAAAATTAATGCCCTTTTGCCCGAGTTATGGTATTTTTAAATTTGAAAATTTATTTAAAAAATCAAGAAGTTTTTTTAATATAAAAAATCAGATTTTATAATACAACATAATATTTTTTAAGTGAAGGAGTCATTTCCGACCCTATAAACCATATATATTCTTGATCAGCATTAACAGGCGATTCGTTTAAGCCAAGTCCGGAGGAAAACTAATTTTGAGCCATTTTTTCGAAATTTGATAAGGGGTTACATCATTAAAATTCGCAAAAACTGACCAAAATTGTTTTTTCTAACTAAGTATGCAGATTTGTTAACCTCATAAAAACTAACACAGAACAGTTTTTCGATTTAAAATTATTTGCATTTTTGGCAGAGTTATCATATTTTTTAATATAAAAAATCAGATTTTATAATACAAAATAATATTTTTCTAGGTGAAGGAATAATTTCCGACCCCATAAACCATATATATTCTTGATCAGCATTAAAATACGAATCGTTTAAGCCATGTTTGGAGGAAATCAAATTTTGAGCCATTTTTGCGAAATTTGGGTTACATCATTAAAATTCTCAAAAAATTAACCAAAATTTCAATTTCTTAAAATTTTAAATTTGGTATACAGATTTGTTAAGCTTTCAAAAACTAGCATAGAAAAGCTTACCGCAATGAATTTGATGCTTTTTTGACTGAGTTATGGGTTTTTTCAACTTTGATATGTATTAAAAAATAAATAATTAAGATAATTATTTAAATTAGATTACAAAAATTAAAATAGATTACAAGTGCTCTTCCACTTAGAGAGTAAGCTATAGAAGTTCAAGATCCACTTGATCTCAACCTCATCCCCCCCACTTTATATATGTATGTATATGCTTTATTCACACGCCCATAAATGGGGCATGGGGGCAAATAGGGTTGTCCATCATAAATGGAAAACAAATGTGACGGCTTTTTGGCGGAACCATTTCCATCTGTTGCAAAGCACACGCACAGATATCCAACGATATGGATACGATTGGATATAGTATTAGCAATGCTGATTTTATGGCAGAACGAGAAACGGGACCAGCCAACAAACCGAACCATAACCATGTTCTACATACACGACCTCGACTGCTGGCCACGGCATCAAAGCTAATCGCTGTTTACAATTGCAGATTGGCCCGTAATTTATGTGATAAGAGGGCCATTGTCTGATTTACCAGGGTAAACCAAAAGGGTATTGAAAAGGGTATCGAAAGACTGTCCTATGGTATCCCAATGGTATCTGGTCCTTGCTGGTTGAATGCTTTCTCCCCAGAGGTTCCTGGGTTTCTGTACTAAGCCACGACCAGGAGAAATCTTACCTCTAAGTTACAGGAAAAGAAATAACAGTAAAGGGTTAGACAAGGTTAGCGAACTGCAGGATTCTTTAAGGATCTCTTGAGACTATTCTTTATGAGTACTATTAGAATACTTCTAGAAGGAGAAGTATATGAGATCATAAATAGTATTTAAGGAAATATTTACGGAAATATAAACAAGCCTTAAAGTGATTGAAAAGTTTGCAAATTCTAGGATCTCCAGGTTTTATAATCTTCAACTATTATTTAAGGAAAATACATAATATAATCACAGATATCTCGAGTTAATGAAGTAAAAGTTAAGAGTAAACTCAAAGGTAAACTCAAGATTTCACCAATTAAAAGACCAAAAGTTAAAGTAACTCCTAGGTCTTGTTATTCCCTGCACTCCCTACCCTTTTTTCAGGATACATAAGGATATGATATGAGATGATATAGTAGCTATAGTAGCTGCAACAGGTGCTCTTCTTGCTAAGTTAAAGGAAAAGTATAAAGGGTAAAAGCGATTGAAAGGTAGGATCTTTCGAGGAACTCCTGAGACTAGAATCTAAGACTAGAATTAAAGGATCACATTAATAATCTTATATTTTTACTATTATCAATAATTATTATTATATTATTAATAGTATTAAAGATTTTTCAATTTAAAAAAGTAAAAATTAAAGTAACTTCAAGGTCTTTTCAGGGATTTCTCTAGTTAAAAGACTAAAGATTACAATAACTCAAAAACTGATCTTAACCTGCTCTTCCTAGACTCTTTTTAAGGATCTATATATCTTATTTAGAAGAAGTTAGTTCCCCAAAACCTGATGTATATATAGCAATCATTAGTCACTGGAAATTTCCATACTCTATGCTAGGGAGATGTATCCAATGGATCCCATGCAACCAATGTTTGTGGCAACCGAAAGTGTTTTGTATATCATAGTTTTATTTTTTTATTTTTTCTCTTTTTTTTTTTTTTTTGGTGCTTTATCAATCTATTTTTGGGGGGCTAATCTGTCGAAAACCCCCAGCGATCTGTGTGCATTCTGTCGCGGCCTGGGAGACCATCACTCCAGTGGGTGAAGTGGCCGGAATGGATAGCGAATCTTATCAACGGGATTGTGGTTCTCACGCTGGCTCTAGCTTTAACCCAGTGGTATCAGTTACCAGCGGGTGAAACGTAAACAAACGACGCCCACGAAACCGACAAAAAAAAAACCGAGTGTAGAGAACCCGAAGTCCTGGCCAGCCAGCCGGCAGACGTTTGCCCACTGGCCTCGCGTTCGCTTCGTTAAACCAGCAGCAGCGGAGTCATGGCCTCCTCATCATCATCATCATCATCATCGTCATGGGATTACCCGCCGATGCTGGAGGGATTACGTGGGGAAAATGACTCGGAATCAACGCTGGTCATGATGCCGTCACAGACAACTCCTGCATATAGCTTCACGCCCGGTCACATCCTCTGGCTGGTGATCAATGCTCTGCTGTTTGCCTTGATCCTCGGTGGAAATATCCTAACCATAGTGGCGGTTAGAACCTGCCGACATCTGCGCTCGGTCATCTCCAACCTGTTTATTCTCTCCCTGGCTGTTTCCGACTTTTGTGTGGGTCTGGCTTTGCCCTATCACCTGGTCTTCTACATGGGCTCTGGCGGCGATGGTATTGGCGCCATGCGAGCTCCTTGTTTACTGAGATTTTTCTTACTAATCTGCGCCTGCTGTGTGTCCATGCTGACGCTCATCTCCATAGCTGTGGATCGTTATATAGCAGTGGTTTATGCTTTGCATTACAGGAGGTAAGGCGAAGGCTTAATCTTAATCTTAATTGGTGGCTCTTTTAATCTTTCTTTCTTCACCAGATACATGACCAGGCGAGTGGCCTACAGCATCATCATTTGCAACTGGTCACTGGGCGCCTTGGTGGCTCTACTTCCGGTATTTTGGAATCGCTGGCCCGATGCCCAGGCCTGTGAATTTGATGAGGTCCTGGCACCTGGTTATATAGCTGGGGTAATTACCCCTGGATTTGTCATCATTTGGATTTGCATGCTTCTCGTTTACTGGCGAATCATGAGGGAGGCCACCCGGCAGGCCCAGAGACTCCGTCAGTCGGTGGTTTACAATACGGATGAGGCCACCACCATGCGGAGTCTGATACTCCATCCGGACTGGAAGAGTGTCCAGATAGTGGTCTTTATCATGGGCTGCTTTACCATTTGCTGGCTGCCCTACTTTTGTGTGGCCATTGCCCAGTTGTTTAGCATGTGCCGGAGCAGTTCGATGATCTACAAGGTTACCTTCTCCCTGGCCATGGCCAATTCAGCCCTGAATCCCATTATTTACTCGTGGAAGAACTCGGGTTTCCGGCGAGCCTTTGCCCAGACGCTGTGCTGTCGGACGGCCAGGCAGTGCGAGGATCAGCTGCCTGGTGAGAGTAAGCAGCGCATGGAGGGCACTAACTCCTCCATGGGGTATCAGCAGCAGCAGCAGGAGGTCAAGAGGGAGGTCAAAGAGGAGATCAACAAGAAGGAGATCAAAGAGGAGGTGAATCAGGAGGTGAAGCAGGAGATGAAGCAGGAGATGATGAAGTTGGAATTAAAAATGGAGATCAAGGAGATCACAAAATGAAAGAGAAACCTCTGTTCCATCGAAAAAAAAAACCAAAAAACCTGTTTTTTAAGGGGGGGTTTAGGTTAAATCGTTAAAAACAAACATTTTTAAATGAAAATTAAAACTATAATTAATTCAAGGACTCACCTCAATCCCTGTTATGCCCAGGGCATGCACTAGATTCTGGGTAAGACGGAAGGGCACCTTCTCCGGTATCCTCAGCGTGCGTCCCTTCTCGAAGCAGACATTGTAGTCAATGTGGACAATGTTGCCGCTACCCAGGTTGATCAAGACATTGTCCAAGTGCCGATCGCCCAGGCCAATGACATAGCCAATCATGGACATGACGCTCATGCAGCGGGCATAGCGACGCACCGATTGCCGCCACTCGGCGGCATTACCCGCCTGGCACCACAGCTCCCGGGCCAGCAGATCTCCCGGCGTTTCCTGCGACAACTCCGCCAGGACCTGCCTCAAGGCCGCGATGGGCCACTGCCTTCGTGGATCACTCACGTGGAGATTATGCTTGGCCAGCAGCGGCGATAATTTGCTGTAATACAAGTCCGTAAAGCGACGCGTGGCATTGGCTCCTCCTGCTGCCGCCCCAGCTCCTGCTCCTGGTCCTGTTTTACCCGATGCCTGCGGCGGCTGTCGCTGTTGCCACTTTTTGTACAAAGCAAACAGGGGAGTCACTCCATCCACCCAGCTAATCAAACCCGACTGCGGGCCCAGCGGTATCACCGAGTAGTGATGGGCACGATAGCAACCATTGCCGGGGGCATCACTCCTGCAGGCCATAATGGCATTCGAAATGGACAGAAACTGCATGATGCGCTCGTCCAAATGGAGATCCTCCATGCCCTTGAACAGGAACGTATACCGCTGACCATTGCTCCCATAAAAAGCCACCTTTTTGGGTTTCGTTTTGGTGGGCAGGACACACACAGTGCCCTCCACGCTCTCGATAAACACCTTTTCATCCTCATCGTGGGCATCCAGGCCGGGCATGCAGATCCTCATGCGTCCCAGACCGCACAGAACCGGACTCAGGCTCTGCATTTTGAGGGTGCTCCCCGTGCCGCGTATCATGTTGGCTTGGAGGATGTGATACAGCTGCTTCAGCTTGTCCCAGGCCTCGGGATACCGGCGCATCCTCAAGGCCTCCAGGGTGGCCTTAATGGGTGCATCGAAACGCTTGCGAAAGCTACGCTCGTAGCTGGTCTCCGGCGGACGGGCGGTGAGTGCAGCCAGAGCCTCCAAATCAGCCAGAAGCTGTGGTCGCCAGACATTAAAGCGATTGTTCTTGCCCTCGTGGTCATCCGCACGGAATTCAGTGGCCAAAGCGCTCACCCGGCTCACATAGGTGTTGTAAATGTTGGCCAGCGAGTGAATCCAGTACTCATCCCATAGAAGACACACTCGTCTCAGCTCCTTGACCATCAGCTGGACATGCTGCACTGCCTCCGGCGCCTGCTTGGACAATGCATTCAGCAGATAACCATAGCAGCAGGCATCCTCAGTGGAGGGTTGTTCTGGGACACAGCTCCCAGCTGCTGCCTTGACATCACCACCCCCCTGCTGCTCTCTGTTGGCTCCCACCACAGCTGGAAAGATGACCAACTGGGGGCGACTCTCGGCCAGGCGGCACAGCAAAGCACAAACGCTCTTCCTCACATAGGGTTCATGGTGATTGAGGCGACTGAACAGCTGGGGGATAATCACCTTCCAGGGGGCAATGGGTGTGTTGCTAAGACCCTGTTCGAGGACCTCCTGCAGACCACTGGCATGCTTGACAATCAGCCGGAGCAGGCGCAAAGTGGTGGTCACCAGATTGCTGTCATCCACCTGAAAGCGTCCCTCTAATGGAACACCCTGACCACCCGAACCCTGACCCACCGACTTGACCTGGAGATACTGGAAGTAACAGCGGGCTGCATCCCTGTAGTAATCATAGGTATTGGCTATGGCTCTGCGCCAGATTTTGAGCACCTCGTCCAGCATTTCCGGTGGACTCTCCGCCAGCAAAGGCAGTCTCCTTAGGCAAGCCTTGGCCGCCTCATCATCTCTAGCCCGTGCCGCCTCGGGGCACACTTCCACGCATTTGGCCGGCGGCTGTTCCATGCTCAAAGCCTGCAGGAGTTCATTCAGACCCTCGCTATCCAGGGGCTGAGGCAAGTCCAGGGCCTGACTGATGGCCGCCACATGCGACTGGGTGAGCACAGTGCCGCTGTCCACGATCTTTTTGCCCCAGCGATAGCACCAGTTGCCATAGGCTATCAGGGCCTCCTCGCCATTGGGCCGCTGCCTGAGGCTGGCATGGACGAGGCGGGCCACCAGGCTCTCGGCCTGGGGAATGGCCAGAGGTTGGCCCGCATTGCAGGTCAAAGGGCACTCGGGTAGCTCCTCCAAAAGCTGGGCAAGCACAGGCGATTGTTGGGTAACCAAACCACTGCAGCTCCTGGCGGCTATCCAATCGGAGAGATGCAGCAGAAGATCGGCGGCGGCTCCCTGGCCACTTTGCTGGAGATTCAGGCAAAGGGAGGCGCAAATATCCAGGGAACTGGGCAGCTCTCCGCAGGGTAATATTTGCTGCTGTTGAAGATGCAGGCACTTGACCAGCTCTATGTAACCTCGTTTCAGTTCGGCATCCTCTAAGGGTGGCAGAGAGGCCAACTCCGCGGCTATATCCTCCAGCGGCTGTCCAAAGAACTGTCTCAGCAGAGACTGCGACAACTGTAGGTTGCCCTCCTCCCGGGCAGCGGCGGCAGCATCCAAGCACAAGGTCTCCCAGCTTCCCTGAGCACAATGCTGGCGGAGGAGCTGCGTCCAGGCCAGGCAACGCATCAAAATGGCACTGCACACGCTCGGACCAGGTCGTGAAGGCAATCTTTCACTCCTCATCCCCTCCAGCGGCAGCAGGCATAGCTCTTGGTTGCCGCCCACCGCCTGGGCAATGTGTCTAAGTAATGTAAGCTCCTGGCAGGGTCGCTGATTGCAGCTGGGATTCAGGAGACTGTCACGCCATTGGGTGTCCAAAAGGCTCAAGACATTGCCAGGCAGGCATTGCCACTCCAAGAGCTTGTGCTGCACCAGATCCTCGGTGCGCTGATGGACCTGGACCGTTGAGAAGCTGGCATGGCCCGGAGAAGTCGTCTCCTCCCAGCTATTGGGCCACAGGCTAAGCTGCTGCAAGGCCCCACCCAGCTCCTCGGAGCTGGAAGCCGCCTCTCCACGGGCTAGTAGTCGTTCCAAAGCACTCACCTCCACATTGCTGCGCTGCAGGAAGGGATTCAGTTCGCAGTCCTCGCTTCGTTGCTGCTTCAATTCCACCAGCTGTGACCACTGGCCGGTGTCCTGGAGGCATTGCATGATCTGGGCCAGTAGAAATTGTCGGGTTAAAGGCTCCAATTCACCAGTTTCACCATCATTCAAGAGGCTACGATAGCCGGCCAAAGCGGATTCGGTTTTGCCTGCCGCCTGATCAGCCGCCTGTTGAAGCCACTGGAAGGACTTGTTGCCTCCGCTCTTGGACCTCGCCCAAATGTAGAGTCCTCTTAGGGAGTCTGCCTCCCGGCAGCTGACCCAGGCCCAGGCCAGGTACACAATAGCCTGGCCAAAGGTGGCATCCGGCGGCTTCTGGGTGAGCAGGATTTGCTGTGAAAAAAGAAAGAGAAATCTTCATTCAGGGGAATCCCCACACAAGATCTCCCTGAGATAATCCTCACCTGGGCATAGCGTATAACCAACTCCGGCTGCTGGACATGCATGGCTATGATCACCACGCCTATGCGTATCCTATTGAACCACGACTGACAGGTGGGATTGTTCAAGCGAAAGAAGGCCGCCACTGGTTTCTCCGGCGGACGCAAGGCAAAGGCACTACCCTCGGCGGCATTGTAAATCAGCTTCTCCAGGGCATCCAGGAAACCCAGCAGCATGCCCAGATTGGCCTGCATGTGGGAGAGCTCCTCCAGCGACAGATTGTCCAGAGCCGAACGCTCCGTTTCCTTGGCACAGCCGCTCAGGAGGCGGGCATGCCTCATTATGATGGCCTCAAAGCCCAGGAATGTGTCCTGCGGCTTGCCCAGCGTTGTCCTCAGCCGCTGATCCACACAATATCGAGCCGCCTCGAACTGGAGCCAGGCGGTGGCCAGACGCTGGCAGCGACGTGTGCACTGCGACAGCTTATCCTGTCGCTCATCCTGCGGTGCCACCTGGCAGCTGCGCACAAAGAGATCCCGGATGCCATGGCTATTGCTGGTTAGTGGCTGCTGTTCCGGCTGCTGCAGACGCTCTACAAAATCCCGAAAGACCGTATCTCTTACGGCGCTGCACTGGCTCATCCTTTGCTGCCACACGCACAGCCGGCGACTGGTCATGCCCGGCAGGGAGTAGACGCCGCAGCCCGGCAGGGTCACATGCAGCGGCAGCTGGGCATAGATCTGGGCAAACAGGCCATGGTGCCCGGTGTGGGCCAAGACCTGCAGCTGCTGGAGGGCAGTATCCCTGTACAGGACAAGCAACTCGGTTGGATGTTGATGTGGTCCATACTCCAGGACACTCTGCATGCAGGCGCCACTCTCCAAGGGTGTCCATTTGGCCGCTTGGCAGGCAATGTTCCGGCAGATGCCTTGAAAGTGCGGCTGTTCCATCAACAGACGAGCCTTCTCCCGGCATTCTGTGAGGATTAACTGGGTCCACTGCAGCAGGATGCGTAGATTATTGGGTGCCAATTGGCTGGCCTCCTTGAGTATGTTGTCCAGGAAGCGCAGAATGCTGGCAAAGCTGTGGGCCGTGGGCGAGGTATTCTCGCTGTGAAGATCCTGTTGATCCCTCAAAAGGCTGGAGTTTGAGCGGAAATTGTGATTGGCCTGGCAGTGAACCACCAGGAGGCTCAACACAGCCTGATGGGTGGCTGGATACCGGCTCCATATGGCCATGTCCTGGGCCCGGCAATTGGTGAGGAGTAGCTCCAAAATCGAGGGCTGACAGGCGTACATTCCAATTATCGAGGAGGTTTGCTTGGCCAAGGCAGCCAAGGCGGCCAGGTGGAAGACCATCAAGAGACCCGCCTCCTCGCTGGCCCTGCTGCAGGGCATGCTGCTGCTGCTCCTTTGCAGCTCCCCAACACACTCGTCCACATCCGCCACCAGATGCTTGTAGGCCTGCTGCAGCAGCGGGACATTCCTGATGAGCAGGGTCTCCTGGCAGGTGCGCAGGAGCAGCCTATAGCCCTTGCCGCCCGGCGTCTCCCTTTTCAAGGCCGCCAAATAAGGACAAGATTGGAATATCAATGAAACCAAAGTCTTGGGCAGGCGGGCACGTAGCCTTCTCACAGTGCAAAGCAGCAAATAAAGAAGGCTCTGCCTCTGGATGTCACTCAGCAGATGCACCTCCTCAAATTGCCGCAAGAGCAGCTCCTCTACGGTGCCCGCCTCCAGGCCACCAAATCCATTCATCAGGCAAATGCACAGCAATTCATTCACACTGACCAAAGCCGCGTCCGTGGTTAGCAGGATTCTGGGCTGTATCCTAACCAGATGATCCACCGCCAGCTGGACAATGGACTCGCAGGTTGGGATGCCCTCGAACATTTGCATGCGGGCCATGCACTTCAACAGGGTATTAAAGGCACCCACAAAGGCGCCCATGCGTCCCACCGCTGCCTCGCACTCCTCAAAGTCCAGCGCCGTAATGTCCTCCACGAACTGGGCCAACAAACCATAGCTAAAGTCAATCTGCTTGCTAAAGTATGGAGTCAATTGCTCCAGCACCTGGGCACAGTGCGCCTTCAGCTGGGCGGGCTGACCCGTGGTAACCTCCAGTTGCCAGCCAATGATGATGTCCACCACATCCGTGAAATGGCACTCGAAGGCCTCGCGGTAGCTGGCCGAGAACAGGACCAAAGTATTGCTGATCACCATAAAGATTTCGGCATTCTCAGCCGTCTCCAGAAAGTCCTTGAGCAGCAGCATAATCTTGTCGGAGTAGGGATGCAGCTCGCACTTGGTGTCGCAGCTGGAAAGAGAAGGAAACCAGGATGGATTGAAGGATTAGGGTGGAATATATCTAGGGGAGTGTACCTGAGTGTGGATCGCAAAGCCAGAATCAAATACTTTTGCATCCGCTTGCCGCTCCTGTAGTTCTTCACTATGAACTCCTCGTAGATGGGATACGACTTCCTGTTGAGGTAACCAATCACTCCCAGGATCTTGCTGCACTCCTCCAGCACTGGCACCGGGCATTGCTTGAACAGGATCAGCATGCTCTCCAAGATCCAGACAAAGGAGCACGACATGTAACCCATATTGAGGGGCGTGCGCACTGCCTGATCCAGTTTGCTGCACAGCTCCAAGGCCACCGCAGGATTGGTTTCATTGGACAGCCGACGGATGATCTTCGAGAGACGCAGTTCATCGCCATTGCTGGATGCTGATGGATCACCTAAAGGCACAAAACCAGCCATTAAGAGGTTAAGGTCAAGGTTAAACCTAACCGCGCGACTCACCTTTGTTTTGGTAGCCACCTTTGCGATTGCAACCCTTCATTTGCAGGCCAAGATGTAGGTTCTCGTGGCCACGCAGGGCCATCGTGTGGGCCAGGGCCTGGGCCATCTCATGGGGCTTGCTGCAATTGCTATTGGTGAAGCTGCAACTAGTGGTCCACAGGGAATGGGAATCGCTGGTGCTGGTGCCACCGCTTATGCTGCCAATGCCACTGGTCGTCTCGCTGAACGCCGTGCGATGGTTGACAATGCCATTATTGTTATTATTGCCATTGTTGTTCCGGAGAACGCAGAACGCGTGGAGCGCGGGCGACGACGACGACGACGACTCCTCCTCGTTCGACGTTCCATTGTAGTTGTCCGGCTGGAGCGCGTCCTTCATTGGGTGTACGGGCGGCGCTAGCGCAGACATTAAGACTCCCCAGCTCGGGAAGCATCAATTACGGATTAATATACCAACGAAATTCGCGTTATTTCTCTTTTATTTTCTTGTATTTTCTTGTTTTTTTTTGTCCAAAACACCAGTTAGCGATGGACCAACAACGAGCTCATTATCGATAATAGTTGGATCCCTCCGATAACAGCCAATCACCCATCGATTGAGGGAAGCCCCCGAGGAGAAATTGAGTTATTTTATTTACTAATTACTTTCAATTGAAAGCACACGGAATTTGGGACGTTCATTTGGTGTTTATAAATTCATTTGTATGGAAATGCCAAGCCAAGTGGCAGGAAATGTTCAGTGAAAGTTGCTAGCTGTGCAAGAAAAATTTGTATATATGAAAAAGGGAATTTCTATAATTGAAACTATGCTCGTTGGTAACTGAGATTTATTTAGGAATATCTAATTAAGAATATTTTAATAACTGAATTTGTTTATTTCGTGGCAAGCAGCCGATAAAAAACTGTTGAATGCAGCTAGGCGCTATCGAAGTTGTGGCGCCACTTGGCTGTTTGTTATCGATAATGTAAGGGCTATCGGTCCTTGCAACGGAAATTTGCAGGAATTTATTTTTAAATTTTATAATTACTAAAAAAAATACACAAAAATTTTAATTTTTTTCTTTTTTTAATTTATTTGAACAGAAAAAAAGAGGCTGTAATTTACATGGAATATTTTTGTGATTTAAAGTTAAATATTGAATTTATTTATTTTTTTGTCGCGAAAACTAATGTTTAAATATTTTAAAATTTTATAATTATTAAAAAATACAAAAAAAAAAGTATTGTTTACTGGCACTATTTTTAAAATGTATTTTACCAAAAACAAAAAAACAATTTACTGATAAGAATATTTTTTTAAATTGAAATTTAAATTTTTAAAAATACACAAAAATTTTATTATCCCTTGCACCATTTTTAATTTTTATTAAACAAAATAAATAAAAAAAGGAAGCAATTTACAAAGTTCTTAAACTACTTTTAAAGACAAACTCCTAAGAATATCAATGAAGATATTCATGATTCGCTTTATTTATGTTTTTTTTTTACTATAATTATGATTTCTTATTTTTTTATATTTTATTTTGATTAATTATTATCCTCCCTTCAGTTGATCCTGCTAATCCTGTAGCTTATTCATCATGTGCTGCGTGTAGGCAGCCACAAAGTTGGCCATTTGGGCATAGACCTGATACGGATGCTCAAACGGTGGCGGCAAAGCACCCGCCGGCGGATTATACTGCACTGGCTGACGTGGAGGCTCAGCCCTTGGACATGGTGGCACTGGCAACGGCACCGGCAAAGGCGGCGGAGCTAACTCCTCCCTTTGGACCAACGACAGACAAATGTCGCCCACCTGCAGCTGCTGACACTTGAGCTCGTACAGCTGCAGCGACAACTGGGGATTGCAGGAGGCCCAGCCCTGGCCATATACAAAGAGGGGATGCCCCGGCTGCACCTCCATGAGCACCTGCATAAGAGAGATGGGGTTTACTAACATCCTGAAAGTAGGAGTAGCTTACCTTGTCATGCTGGGTGTCATAGCTAAAGGTAATGGTCACTCCCTGACCACCACGATCGATACGCACCACTGTGGCCTCGCGCAGATCAAAGATCTGGCTGCGCAAAGCCGACTGTATAAAGTCCTCGGTGCGTATGTCCTCCACACGACGCAGAGATCCACTGGAGAGCTCTATGTAAGAGCCGCGATGAAAGCAGCTCACCTCCGGCTGACTGCAAATGGAAACCCATTGAAGGTGCAAACTGGATCAAGGAGGAAGCCTAGCTTACTTGATGGGTAGCTGCTGCTGCTGGGGATGCCTCCTGTAGCCGTAGCTGGCCATGTTCTCCTGACTTGTTCTTCCGCGTAGCAACTAGCCTCAACTGAGCCGCACTGGGATCTTGATATACCAATAAATATATTCATTCAGTCGAGGTGTTTTCCGCGGAATTTCCACGAATGTGGCCCACTCATATAGCCCAGCTGGTGCCGGGTACCTAAGGCCTGCTTTTTGAAGCCATAATCTGCTCAGAGCAACAGGTATGCCTCAGCTCAGGTAGAGATTTCCCGCTTAAGCGGAATTTTAACCATTGTCCGGCGCCTGGCAGGCTGTTGCGCCAGGCGCCTTGCACCTCCTGTTCCTCCTCCTCCTCTCTTGCTACTCATTCTCTTTTCTCTCTCTTCCTTTATTTGGTTTTTCGTTTTCTCTTCACCGAGGCAGTGCCTCCCGCCGCCTTGTTACCCCCATTTAAGCCCAAGGCATACAGGTAATAGCCTCCAAAAAAGTACAAGACACCCAAACCCGCATACACCGAGGTTAACAGGAGCGGCAGAAAGGGCAGACGCTTGTCCAAACCCAAAACAAAGGACAATAAATGCTCATACAGTGGTATAACCAAGAATCCCAGCATGTAAAGCCACTCCCACACATGGAAGCCGCGGAAGCCGGGAAAGATGCGATACAGCTGGCCATAGAGCATGGCCACATAGGACATGTACAGCGAGTAGCGGGGTATAAACAGATCCGGGTCAAAGAGCAGCGGGAAAAGCGAAAAGTAGCCGGCAATGGCCAGGATATACGAGTATCTGGCATCCTCGCGGTTGACCAGGGTGAGCAGGCTGCAAAAAAAAGGAATCTCTGAATTTTAGAGCAATGTAAAGCCCAGGAAGAGCACTTACCAGAGTGGTATCAAGACCAGGAGTATGGCCTTTTCATGGACATGCCAGCCAAAGACAAAAGAAGAGCAGCTGCACAGGATAACAGAGCGTAAAAACACCAAAGGACTTTGTCTGTTGAAATAAACTTGATATAAAATCAAAGTAAAAACTTGTAGCTTCAAAATGGACTCACTTTTTGGAGCTCCTAAACAGCTTCACCAAGATGGGCAGCATGAAGACTAGCGTCAGGATGAAGGTCATCGGTGGGGTTATAGTTGGCAACACTGAATGCTTGACCTCCTGCACCAGACCCGAAGAGGTGGCACCTCCTGGCACTCTCATTAAGCTGGCCGCCACCTTGTCGGCTGCATTGTAAAGAGCCCAGAAATTTGGAGCCCAGTAAGCGTGCGTCAGTCCTCGCTTAAAGGGAAATAACCTGGCCAAGACCTCCGGCAGTTGCTTCACAAATGGACCAAAGGCCACTGCAAACGGTGAGAGTCCCACAGCCAAAAGTTTGATCATGGCTGAAGCCATACCTGCCACGCTGGCCTGCTCCAGGCAATAGAAACGCAGCAGATAGACACCAAAGGCCGGGGCCATGTACAGGAAGATGTGCTTGAAATTTAGGAGCACGGCAAAGGCAAAGGCGCTCCACAGGAAACGCTGCCGGATGAGATAGCCAATGCTCAGCAGCAGGATGCCAAACAGAAAGCCATTGTACTGGAAGTGTATGTGATCCACAAAGATCAGTCCCACGTTGAGCAGCAGCAGCATGGCGCCGGCAAAGTGCTGCTGCGAATCCCGTGCTAGCCCCAAGGCACCCAGGCAGCTGCGCACTCCCAAAACGTAGACCAGATCCGTGACAATCACCGAGAGTCGCTGGAAGTAAACCGTTGCCTTGGACTCGTAGCCCAGGTTGGATACCTCCAGCATCCGGGGATCCACATAGCGGGCCACCTGCGACAGCAGCCACTCGAAGTAGGCAAAGAGCGGCGGATAGTCCAGTGTCCACTCACTGGTGGCCTCCACATACCAGCGGTTTAGTGGCAGGCTATGGGTGATGGCCAGCCAGTTGCGGTGCACCTCGAAGTCTGTGGAATGGCTGCAAGGCGGGAGGGGTGTGAGTGTGAGTTGGAGGAGAGCAGCTGGAGCAGCCACTTACTAGGCGGGAATGAGGAGGATCTTCAGGCCGGTGCTGATGCCCACCAGGTGCCAGAAGAGATCCTTCATCGTTGTTGTCGTCGGTTTCGTGGAATTCGTATTGGGGCCTGATAACGGCCAGTGTGGCCAGATGAGCGTCAGCTTATCGGTAGGCTTATCGATTAATGTTTACGTTTTAGATCTTTAGCAAAGTTATACACCTTTTTTCATTAAAACATTTTGGAAAGTGACACATCTTTACATCGAAACCTTACGTTTTAGTTCATTTTAAGTTGTTTAAAATTTAATCATTTTGTTTGTGAAACTTATTCAATTTCTCCACAATTTACACTTTCAAGTATGACCAGCAGCCGTTCAAGGGAAAATCCCTTAGTTTCCACACATAAACGAAAAACTATCGACAGTGTTATCGAGACTCTAGCATCTCTATGCAGTTCTACTTACGCATTTCGCGAATTTAGGCGTCAAATTGAAACAAATATTGTGGTCTCGAGCCGGCTGCCAGAGTCCAAACGTTGCTGCCAACTCGAAGCCCAGACCCTGCGCCAGCCGGGTCATGTACGCCACCAACAATGGCGGGACGAACAAGGCGCCAAACAGGTTAGTTTCGCGTGTGTACCAACACACACCCTCTCCCTGCCATTCCTACCCACCCCCTCCCTCCCACCTCACACAGAGGCGGTACAGCCGAGATTTTTTTTTGTGTGTAATGTCTCTTATTTGGTTTTCATCAGCAGTGGCACCTCCATGTTTGACAACACCATCACCGTGACCCCAATCAAGGTGGAACTAAGCTCGGCCGTTGCCCAGGCCTACGCCGCTGGCAAAAACCAAGCATCAACGGCAGGGACAGTGCAGCGAAGAACGCCCAATGCAGTGGTGGTGACCACCACCACGACGGCACCCAACAACCAACATCAGCAGCAGCAACAGCAACAGCACCAGCAAACCCTGCAGCTGACGGGAGCCGGAGGCGGCGGCACTGCCACCCTCACCTTGCCCATGCAAGCCACTCTGGTCACCTCGAATAATGCCTCCTGCACCATTGTCAATCCCGGCGGCAGCACCACCATGCCCAAGGAGAAGACAACAACGACGACGAAGGCGAGTCGGGCTCAGGTGGCGCGAAAACCGCCGCCCACAATTGACAATTTCTGGCCCAACATTGTGAGCGAAGTCCATGGCATTGGCCAGGTGGATGCCAAGCATCAGGTGCTGCCTTTGGCGCGCATCAAGAAGATCATGAAGCTGGACGAGAATGCCAAGATGATAGCCGGCGAGGCTCCGCTGCTGTTTGCCAAGGCCTGCGAGTACTTCATCCAGGAGCTAACCATGCACGCCTGGGTGCACACGGAGGAGAGTCGCCGGCGCACGCTGCAGCGTTCGGATATTGCCCAGGCGATTGCCAATTACGATCAGTTTGATTTTCTCATTGACATTGTGCCGCGCGAGGAGATCAAACCCTCGTCATCGTCGTCGGCGGCGTCAGGGTCCTCCTCAGCGGCGGCGGCGGCTGGGCAGAAGCAGGGCAAGGATGGCGGCAGCACCATGACCGGATCTGTAGCCAATTCTGGATCATCGGTGGCCTCAAACGCAGGCAGCTCGAATGCCACGGGCAACTTTGTAGCCAATGTACCTGCAGCCGCCAAGCTGGACGCTGTTCCTGGCACCACCACCACCAGTGCCGGCGAGGTGCTTAGCTTCAGTCCTGTGAATCCGGACATATTCTCCGCTCAACTGCAGCAGCAGCAACAACAGCAGCAGCAGCAGCACCATCATCATCCCCAGCAGGTGCAGATTATTCAGCAGGCTGGCCATCCTGGTGGCCAGCAGCTGCAGTATTTTATAGCCCTGCCCGGCCAGCAGGCGGCCCAGTTGGTGCAGCAACAGCAGCAGCAGCCTCAGGCTGCCCAGAATCATCTGGCCAACAGTCTGGGCCTGAATATAGTCACCGCCCAGCAGCAGCAGCAGCCCACCCAGCAGTTGATCCTCACCGCCGGTCCCAATGGCCAGCTGACAGCCACACCCGCGCCACAGCAGCAGCAGCAGCAGCAACAACAGCAGGCGGCCCTGCTCCAGAATCTCGCCCAGCAGCAGCAGCAGCAGCAAGCGCAACAGCAGCAGATACAGCTTATCCAGCAGGTGGTGACGCCCTCAGGCGAGCTGACCAATGTTCCGGTGGGTTTAAAAAGAGAAATATTCTATCGAAAATGAAACTTATTGTTCGATTTCTTTCCTTAGATTGCCATCAATGCCAATCACTTGCATTTGCTGCGCCTGCAGATGCAACAGCAGCAGCAGCAACAGCAACAACAGCAGCAGCAACAGCAGGTGATTATACCCACCCAGCTGCTGACGGCTCAGCAGATATTGCAGCTGGGAGGAGCCACCGCTCAGCAGCAGCAGCAGCAAGTCCAGGTGCAGGTTCAGCATCAACAGCAGCAGCAGCAGCAACAGCATGTCAATGCCACAGCCACGCCTATTTTCATCAACTCAAGCCAGGCGGCAACGCAACAACAGCAGCAAGCGCAGCAACAGCAGGCGCAAACGATAAGCAGTTTGTCTGGGGAACGCGGCGGTTTCCGATGAAGTCAGGACAACATATCGAAGCATCGGGAGGCGCACCACCAGCAACATGTATAAAATATTTCTTAGTTAATAATTTAAAGTAGTTTGTAGCAGTGTATATCGGGGCAAAGAATTTACACTTCAGTTCCGCCAGGATTCCTTAAGGAATCCCCCCACGAATCCTTCAGAAATTTTCATACAAGCAACGTTCAAAATTCCTTGGGAATTTCATAAGTTAATCCTGCAGGAATCCAGCCGGAATCCTTGAGTAATCTTGGAACTGAAGGGTATATATTTTTAGGTATATATGTAGCCAAGTAAGTGTAGAAAAGATATCTCAAGAAAGCTGTAATTTATTGCCGAAAGAAAGCCCCCAAAACACCCACCTTATCCTTCACACTTTTTAAACAAAAATCTAGAGATTTAGAGAGAGAGAGAGAGTCCTGGAAGTCCAGGAAGTCATCCGTTTATTATTGTATTTGTATTTGTATTTCCAACTAGACGTAAGCCTCTGATAACAATTATAAAGCCAATCCACAAGAAGGACTATGTGCCAGAAGCTCCTAAGATAGCATCTACTTTCTGGCCAGGATCTTGTTGATGTCCTGCAGCTCGCGAGTGCTCCAGGGCTCCAAAGGATCGGGGGGAGAGCTTTGTTGTTCACCTTGTTCCGGGGAAACTCTGATGGGAAGCAGGAAAAAACCCCAGAATTCAGGTTTTAATCCTTATTTTTAAGGACTCTAAAACTCACTTGTTCCTGCGACGTATACGCGCACTCTTGGCCCGGCTAGCGGCCTCATCCTGAGCCGGCTGGCATTTGCGCAAATGGAACTGCTTCATGGTGGCATGCACTTCCTCCGAGGTGGGCAGATCCTCACTAGAAGAGCAGGGTTCCTCGCCACCACCATTGCCATCCTCGGTCTCCACCTCGGCCTCCTGTTCAATGGTCAAGACCTCCTCCGAAACAGCCTCATCGAAATGGAAGCCCTAGAAAACAGAAAATCTTAAGAAAGAGGACCAAGATTTGGGAGACTCTCACCCCACCGTTGTCTCCACCGCCAAGGCCCCAGGTGGTGCCCATACCGAGGAGGACATGGCTTCAAAGCCCGGCTGCTGCTGCTCCCGCCTTATATCCGCCTTGGACAAGGCATTGTGCGTCCTCTTGGCCAGCGATAGTTTGCCCAAAATGGGACCACCGCTGTCGCTCTCCTCGGTCTCCACCTCGGCCAGCATGGCCATGAACTCCTCCAGCTTCTTGGGATCCACAATCTCCTTGGGATCCTGGAACAAGTTGCTCAGATTTGAAATGGGCAAATGCATGGCCAAGGGCAGGTCTCCAGCAGGAGCGGCTAGAGGAGCTACAGCTGCGGCCACAGGCAAAGGATCCACCGTTGCCACCTTCTTGGTGGTGGTGGTGGTGGTGGTGGTGGTCTTCATGGTTTGCTCCACCAAATCGAAGGCCTTGTTGGCCAGCTGCTGGAGGCCAGCAAAGTAATGCGGATCATGGGCTTCCGGCCGCTGATCCGACATCATGATGAGCTCCCGAAAGGGATCTGGAGCTGGCGGGGCAGCAGCCGCCGGCGGCGGTGGTGCTGCTGCTGTACGAAGGACAACGCCATTGGAGGAGGCTGGATTATTGGCAAAGGTAAGCATGTCCATGGCATTGGTAAAATCCGATTCGGGATGCATGTTGTAGGGATCCTTCAGCTTCTGTTTGGCCACCTTGACGGGGCTGGATATGGAGGCACGGCCCCACATGAGGCGGCGCATCTCCTCGCCGGTCATGCCGCGTTTCTTGAGAGCCGTCAGGGTGACGCGACCCACGCGCTGGAATAAATAAATATTAATTATATATCATAGTTTTTCCTAGTGTACCAGTGGTCACCTTCCAATTGGACACTGCTCCCTTGCGCTGCTTGGCCCTGGTCTTGCTCTTGCTCTTGATGACCATCACACCGCGCACCTCGAAACCCGTATCATCCGCCGGCCCCAGCGGTATGGAGTAGGCCTCCAGGTAACCCTTGGCATCCGCCTGCGGCACAGCTCGCTCCAAGGTGACCACTATCTTGGCCCACTGCTTCATCCACTCCTTCTCCGACTGCTCAATGACCGTCACATAGGTGTTGCCCATCATGGCAATCAACATGTTTAGCAGCAGGATGGGCACAAAGATCATGAAGATGACGAACACGGTCTTGGAGAGATTCGGGTAGGTGGTCTGGTTGAGATCGGGATACTGCAGGGAATAGAAAAGGGATTCCTTCCTTAGAAACTTGAATTTTATGATTCCCCTGACCTGACACCCACATTATAGTCACCCAGGGTGGTCTGGAAGAGGGCCATCCAGGTGCTGGTGTAGGTATTAAACATGGTGGACTGCACCTGGGGATGTCCCTTGTACAGAAAGTAAAAGGCCTGCGAGAAGCCGCACAAAACGATGCAGTAGATGATGCCAAAGGTGAACATGTCGCCGGTTATCATGGAGTAAATCATGGTCACAAAGGGTCCAGTGAGACGAATGGCTCTAGAAGGGGAAGGGTAGGGGAAAGGATTCTTGTTAAATCCTTGTTTATCCTTTCCTAGTTACAACTTACCCTGCAAAAAACATGAGCAGAAACCAGGATCCAGGCACAGCAAAGATCAGGATAGCCTCCTCGGTATCAGTGTCGCCAATCAGACGAAAGGGTATGCAGGCCAGGATCAGCAGGTTGGAGAACAGGAAAATGGCCTTGGCGGGGGCATGGGACTAGAGAGGGAGAGCATGGGAGAAAGAGAAACTATAAATTCCAGGACATTTCTAGCCAAGAAAGGTTTTTAAAAATCTTTTCAGATTCGCCCCTAATCCTCACCAGCTGCTTGAGAAAGGCCGATAATCCCTGGTTCTTGATCTCATCGCCCTGCTGAAAGACCACATAGCTCAGGACCCCAGCAATGGTGGCCAGTTCCGCACAATATCGGGCCACAGTCTGGGCATTGTAGTCATCATCTTCGCCATTACCATTACCACCATTTCCCTCTGCCACCGCTTGTAAAGCCGCAGCAGTTCCACCCGCTGCCAGATCATCGCCCTCAGAGTCATCTCCCTCGCCCTCGCCATCGTGGGCAGGCCGGAGATAAACCGAGACCGACAGGCACAGGAGATGCGTGGACAGGATAAGCAGACGCTTCAGAAACTGATTCTGGGCAAAGGTCTTCCACTTCTCCTCCAGCAAACGTTGAATGATGCCGCCATCCAGCATGTCCAAATGCTCGGGCTTGGTGCCATTCAGGATTATAAAGAGAGCCGAGTTCCAGTCTGTAAAAACAAGGATAATCAAATGGGGAAACCCTTTTGGAGGTCCAGTAATTGATCACTCACTGGTCCTGCCATCTGGGAGCAGGGTATCCAAGGCATTCAGCGGATAACCCGAGCAGGTGATGTTACTATACCGCCAGAACTCCCTGGCGGACAGCTCCAACATCTCGCGAAAGACCTCGGCACGGCCCAGCTTGCAGGCCAGGGTCAGCGGAGTGAGACCCGTCTGGTTAACTATGCCATTCTTGGCCGGTGTCTTGGGATGACGCAGAGCATAGCCAAACATGTCCAGCTTGTCGCAGACCACCACCATGTGCAGAATCATATTGCCAAAGGAATCCTGGGCATCGGGATCGGCACCGCAGTCCACCAGCAAATTATAAACACTCTCGTTGGCACAGCAGGCGGCCCAGGCCAGCGGATACTCACCCATATAGGCCAGGCCCTCGTAATCGGTGCTCTTGGCCGGATGAGCACGCTGCTGATCCCTCGGCAGAAAGAAGCTACCGATGGCCCGCTGATTGATATCCGCCCCGGCCTCTATGAGATCCGCCACCAGCTCATTGTTGCTATAGGCAATCGACAAATGCAAGGCACTGGCCCCCAAATACTCCTCGCCCTCCATCACATCCAGGGCCAGGTTGGGGAAAACGCGAAGCAGGACACGGGCCAGCTTGGTATGCACCTTGGAGTCGCAAATGATGAGCACATGCAGCAGACTCTCGCCAAGAGCTCCGCGATATTGCATCTGCCAGCAGGCCTTGTGGTCCTCCCACTTGCCCAGGGGATCGTGTATCGACAGCGATGCCTCAATGGGTATGGTGACCTCGGTGTGGTCACGGTATTTCCAGCGCAGGAACTCTGCCCGATTGATAACCTGCCCCTTGCCGTCGTTGTACATGAAGACGCCGAACTGCTCGCGGATAAGCTGCTCCACGGCAATCAGGCCGCCGGAGTTGATGGCATCGATGAGGTCGCCACCTGGTTGAAGTGGGATTTATATAGCCTTATCTATTATTAATCCTTGGAGCTGGGGAAACCCCTCCCCCCCTTTCACACAAATCCATCCTTGAATATTTATCCAGGTCAACTGATGGCCCCACTCCTTACCCCTTGTAACCCACTCACCCCTCTTGTAATCCGCCAGCTTGTAGAGCAAACACTTGCAGGCGGAGGCCGAGGATTGCGAGATGACCGCATCCAGGATGGCCCCGGGCTTCATCTCCGGCGCCTTCTTGCGCAGGCATTTCTTTAGCAGAAACTTCATGACCACCACTGGGGCACCTCTTCCTCCGTTGGAAAGTGCTTAACTTCTGGCTCGTTTTTGCTGTTTGTTTGTTCGATGAACCGCCGAGGCAGAACGGCATTACGGACACAGGCGTTGTCCTAGTAACTAAACCCAAAAGGGAGCCTTGTGGCAAAGGTAGATATGCAGGTGTCAGGATCTGACAGGGTTTTTGCAATTGAATCAATAAAAACTTAAAGGAAAGGTATTATTCCAAACGGAGAATTAAAAAAAAGCGTTGTTGGTGTTGTATAAACTATTGTTGTTGTAAATTTATAGTAATAAAACCTCCAATCTTGGCATTCTCCATACAGACTCCATATAGACTTCTCGATTTCAAGCACCAGGTGGATTTTTCACTCAAATTACGATATTGCTCTACGATCTTCGGGGACTTGGAGAGCCGAAATGAGTGCAAACCATTATTTTCAATATCAAAATTTTCACTCATTTCACAGATCATCTAGCTTGTTGTTGTTAAAATTATATTGTTGTAAAAATATTGTTTTTATTGTTGTAGCAAAAATAAAGCTTAAGTCTAGACATATTCAGTAGAAATTCATACATTTCTGGGAGTCAAGTTAACAGGCGAACAGAAATAAAATCAGCAGAAAGAGGATTTACTTGACAGCAAGCGAATATTTTCACTCAAATTACGATATTTCTCAGATACGATCTTCGCTCTTCTGCTCTTTGTTCGTCAGCTACGGTCTGTGGTGATTTAGAGAACCACAATAAGCAACAACAGTTGTTCTTTTTCATTGGGTCTTTGAGTTAATTTAGTCGTTGCTCTCAAAGAATCAGCGAGCTGATCTGTGCAATGAGTGAGAAATGTTGAATTTGAGTTAAAACAATGCTGTGCACTCATTTCGGCTCTCCAAATCCCCGAAGGCCGTTACTGGCGGCGAGCAAAGAGCAGGAGATCGAAGACCGTAGATGACATGAAGCTCTGAGCAATATCGTAATTTGAGTGAAAATTTTAGTTTGTACTAAAGTAAATCCTCCTTCTGCTGATTCTGTTCTCCTGTTACTTGACTCCCAACATTGTTGAATTTCTACTTAAATTGTCTATATTTAAGATTGATTTTAGCTGCAACAATAAAAACAACATTTTTACAACAATATAATTTTAACAACAACAAGCTAGATGGATCTGTGAAATGAGTGAAAATTTTGAAATTGAAATATTGAAAATAATGTCTTGAATTTCGGCTCTAGATCAGAAAGCGAAGACCGTAGATGACGTGCAGGTTTGAGTAATATCGTAATTTGAGTGAAAATAATGATTTGCACCAACATAAATCCACCTTCTGCTGATTCTGTTCGCCTGTTACTTGACTCCCATTATTGACTCCCAAATAAAATAATAACAAAAGAAGAAAAAATAAACAACTCCTTGCTGATTTTTATATATAATTTACGTTTCATTTTCTTTTTATTGAATTATGTATATAAATATATTTTTGCCTTCATTATTATTATTATTATTATTATTATTATTATTATTATTATTATTATTATTATTGTTAATTATAACTTAGCGCTAGAGTATCGGGGGTATTTGGGGGTTATCGGATATACATATACTCCTGTACTGTAAAATAAATTGTATAAATAATGTGTATGCTTCTGATTCCTCCCACTCCTTCTCTCTGATTCCTCGAAAGTATCGATCATTTCTCTCCTCCACTCATCGCTTGTGAATCGTCAGCGATAAGCCAAATCACTGCTTTATCCTCATAATTTATATCGCTTGAAGTTTTGTATGCTTTTTTCGTATATTGGTATTATTGTTATAGATATATATAAATATAAATATAAATATAAATTAGAGAGAGACGTTCGACAAATCGTAATCGAATATGGCTAATAAATACAGAATGACAGTTAATATCTGTGTGGGGGCTCTGGAGTATGTTCTTTTCGAGGATATACATATATGTATATGTGTTGGATCTACCCCCAACCTAGGCCTAGCCGGGTTAATCTCAGGCATAAGTATCATCTCCAGATCAGAATGTTTAGCGAATACTATAACTCGTGTTTCTCCGTCAGTTCAGTTCGGTTCAGTTCCTCTCCATTGTCCCTGGAGTTAAATGCAACTTGGACTCTTTGATTTCATTTGGAATTGGAATTGTTTGGAATAATGCCTATAACTATGCATATATACATATATATACATATGTATATATATTGTATATTCGTGTATAATAGAACCATTATGTTTTTAGCACAATATATTGCCCGTTACCCGAGAGAGTTGGTTGGTTGGTTGGTCTGGTCTAGGGATGCGTCGAAAATGTTGTAAATTTTGATAAATGGAATTTTTCAAATACTAAAAAAACATTGATAAGATATTTATGCATATCCAAAATATTTAAAATTTGCATAAAATGAATTTTTAAATATCAAAAAACATTGATATTACAAAAAGTATCGGATATGATGTTTATATATATCGAAAATATTGTAAATTTTGATAAATGGAATTTTTTAAATATTGAAAACATTTATTTTACTAAAAAAAAATATTGGATATAATATATCGAAATATAAATTTTTATAAATGAAATTTTGTAATATTGAAAAACATTGATATTTATTTAAAAAAAAATATCGAATATGATTTTGTTATATATCGAAAATATTGTAAATTTCGATAAATAAAATTTTTAAATATTAAAAAACCTTGATATTAATTACAAAAATATCAGCTATTTTTAATTTGTTAATTTTCTTTCAGGTCCGATATATCAAATATAATATATGGCAACTTTTAAGATTGTTTTCTAAATCGATATATATATATATCAATATTTTCAGCCATCCCCTATGTGGTCTTTCCCGTTTTCCTCTACGTTTTTGCAGTTCCTTTCGGCCTATTGTGTCTCAGTCAGTCAGTTGGAGAGCTGGCTCATCCTTGGTATACAAAATATATATAGTATATATGCTATATAGATTCTGGCTCGTGTATAAAAGTACATATATATTCTATTGCAAGTACAAAAAACGCTACGGGTAATTGGTAATCATTGTGCTCGCTACTCGAGTGGCATCCTTTCCTCATCACACACACACACATAGTATCCTCTCTCTGTCTTTGTTTTAGATGAGGGCTTTGGGCTTTTGGGATTGGCAGAGCAGGGGATCCGCTGTTCAAGTCTTTTCGTTATACATTTTGGAATATATAGTTGTATTCTTGGAATTCTTATCAGTTTAGTTTTGCTTTCCTTCCTGTTTGATTCTTGGCTTTTTATGTTTGATTTACTGATTTACCTATTATTATATTTAAACATTATCGAAAACAATTGTCTTTACGCAGTCTATGTTCGTGTTTTTGCTTTTTTCGGTAAGGGAATGATGGGGGTTTTTGGTTGGGTTTTTCAGGGATCGAGCTATGTTCAAGACTAGAAGAGTTTTGTGTTGGAAAAATGAAGATGAAAGAGAAGGCAACAGGCAGACACACATACACTTTTTCTCTCTCTCTCTCTCTCACACGCACACATTCGCACATTATTTAAAATATATATCATAATATATATATATATATATATATATATATATATATATGTATGGCCACGAATCGAAACTGGAAAAGAGAATTTAGGGGGAAAAACTAAGCGTAAGTTGGGCTAAACTAGATTTTCGACTAACTACTTAAATAGCACGTTTTTCAACACAAAAAATACATAAAAAAAATATATAGAAAACACAATAATAAATGTTAAATGTTAAAATGTAAATGTAAAATATTTGTAAAATATTCAAACAAAAACAAGATTTGCTTACGATTGTTAGTTTGGCAATTATTGAGCAAATGCAGTTGAAGGGGGGGAGGAGGAGGAGGAGGAGGAGGAGAAGGAGGAGGAAAAGGACCAGAAGGAGGAGCACCGGGAGAAGGTTTAAGAGTTGATCTGGGTTGTGTACCGGGTGTTTTGGTGTGTGCTTAGAGAGTGTGCTTGCTTGCTTTCGAGTCCTTGATGTCGTCTGCTGCCCTTGTCATGTCTAGGATTGCTTCTGGTTTATCATTCTTTTCTTTTCTTTTTCTTTCTTTTTTTATACGCTAAATTGTGAACTGATCTCTCTGGTTGCCCCCGCTTGACGCTACTCCTGCCACTCGTTCTCATCCACGCCCTCCATGTCATCCTGCTCCAGCTTGGTGGTAAACTCCATGCGCGCGCTCACAGACTTTTGTATCTAAAAAGAAAAGGTTTTAAACAATTAAAACCTAAGAGTTTGCAGTTTTTTTTAGACCCAAAACTCACCTCCTGTTGCTTGTTGATCTCGTAATCCGACTTTTGGCCACCAAACTGATGTTCCGACTTTTTGGCGGCCACCGGGCCTTGCTGTATAGAGGAGACTGCACACAAAAACAGACACAAAAATAGTTAGAATAAGAGGAGAAAATAAAGAGAAAAGGATTCACTCACGTGTCTCCATGCCCTCCGGCTTGAGGCTAATCTTGGGCGCTGCCTTGTCATTGCTGGCAAACCAATCTTCGGCGCTCAGCGTGGCGCTCCAGGTGATGCGCGTGGGTGGGAACAGATCGTCTTGGAAGAGCTCGCTCTGTTGGGAGTTCAAGTTAGAGCTTAAAAATACACTAAAATATATATCTGAACTCACCTTAATGCGTGGCACTGTGAAGCTAAGCGGCTCAATGGTGGTGTTGGTCAGGCGATAGGCCTTGGAGAACTCCACGCTGGCCACATCGCAATGGTTCTTGGTAAGGAAACTGAGGCCCTGGTGCAGCGAGGTGCAGCGATGATGCGACAGCGGGCAAATATATGGCTCCTCGTCGGTAATCTCATAGCAATAGATGGTGGAGTCACCCTTGCCGGTGACAAACAAGGTAGAGCTATCTTCGTCGTAGAAGGGTATTAAAATCGAGGGCGATACATCCAGGCTGGCGGTGTTCAAAGGAGCAGCCAGCTTCTGGGCATTGTACACGCTTATCTGACGCTCCGAAACTCTAAACAAAAATCAACCAGAAATGTAAAAATCTCCCCTAGAAATCAAACCCAAAACCCCAACTCACTTGTCAAAGCCCGTGCAGACAATATACTGTCCATCCAAAGCCCAGGTGATGCGGGCTCCACGCGAACCCACCGGTCCATTGCCCTCTCTAATGGGCGTTTCCGATTTGCGTGGATTGTAGACCCTAATCTTGCCATCCTTGCAAACGGTGGCCCCCAGACGACCGCAGGGACTCCAGGCAAAGTCAAAGATCTGATCGGTGTGACCCGAGAGCGAGCACTTCTCGCTGAGCGTGACCAAGTCCCACAGCTTGATGGTCATGTCATAGCTGGCCGTCAACAAAACATCGGCGGCCAACGGATGGAAGCGTATAAAATAGATCTTGTCCAGGTGGGCCGTCAGCTCGCCAGCTGGCGTATTGGTTGGCTCACTCAAACCCCCAGCATCAATATGCCAGAGCTTCACAATGCCATCGTCACAGGCCACGGCCAGGCGTTGGGCATCAAAGGGATCCCACTGGAAGTCCATGATGTTGCTGCCATTCACCAGCGAGGGTATAACCCCATCCATCAGCCTGCCTGGCCGGCTCAACTCAAAGATGGCTATCTTACCGCCGGGCCCAGAGAGTGGGACAGCCACACGCTCTTGGTTGGCATGGAAACCATTGCATTCGCCCGGTATCTGGCGACTCAAATTCCGTAAATTCTCAATGTGCGTCGACTTGTGGCCGGGTGTGCCCTTCAAATGCCGAAACTTGGACACCTTGCCAAAGACCGTGGAGGTGCGCTTGGTGAATGTGGCCTCCGTGGCGGATTTCTTGAGACCCAAGGCCGAGGCAGAGCCATTGCCGCGTCGATGTTCCTCCATTAGCTTGCCCTCCGGCACTGAGATGCGCTTGGGATCAATGGCATTGTTGCCTTGGAGCGGCTGCAAACTGTTGACCTTCAGGGGCTCCACCTTGGAGTGTTCGCGACGCCTGCAAAGAGAGAGAGAAAAGTTCCTAAAAGGGAAGACACATTTGGTGGTTTTAAGCTCTCCTCCACTCACAATGGCACTGGCGACTGGGCCTTCTCGTCCACCTGGCTCTTGGAACGGCTCTCGTACAGGCGACGCCGCTCAGCAATGCTGCTTCTGGTGGAGGTGGCCCTCTGCAGGTTGCCATCCACCCGCTCCTCGCCCTCCGTGGAATTGCCAGAAGATTCGGAGTTTTGCTCGAAAATCTGCGAGGGAAAAGGATTAGCAACAGGGAACAGGCAGGAAGAGAGATTGGTATAGAGATTAGTTTTTTTTGGGGGGGGGAAAGACATTTTTGAAAGGCAGACCTTGTCGGATGATTCATCATCGTCGGCCGAGGACTAAAGTGGTTAACAGTTCCCAGCATTTGGAAAGGTTAGTTTTGTGGTGTCAGGTGTGTCGAAAGGTTTAGTTTTGGGAGTCGGAGAGTTGAATTTTTGGTCGGCACAGGCATGTAAGAGAGAGAGTATATAGATTCCATCGAGAGAATGTTAGAGATCACAGAGCAGGAGCAGTAGTAGTCTCTAGTTGTGGCCAGTTCCTCTTACCTTGCGTCGCTCTGAAGTGGTCAGCGATACCTGCACGCCATTGCCTGTGGCTGCTGCTGGTGGTGGTGCCCTGGCCTTAATCTCAATATTCACTATTAAATCCGGTTTGGGACCACCCTCAGTTGGTATTATTTCCAGGCCACCGCCACTGCTATTGTCCTGGCCCACGCTGGATATATTCTCATGGGAGCCGGGGGCCAGAGGCACGGCAAAGACCTTGTCGAATGACACATCCCCCGAGGTGCTGGAGAAGGGCTTGGGTCCCAGGCGTGGCTATGAAGAAGCAGGTAATATAAAATAGCGTTTAGTTATCAAGTGTCCTAGACTCTAAATAAAAGTTTTCTACCGAAAAAAAAAATGGTAAATAAAACCAAGAAAAATATAAACAAAATACAGTAAATAAAAGGTGAGTAATAGCAACCAGCTGGTGAGCCTATCAAATGTCAATCAAAAACAAAACAATAAAACAACAAATGCTGCCATAAATATAGAAATAAAGCTACACACTTCTCGGAAAAAGTACTGCGAAAAAGGGGAAAACCAACAACAAAATCATAAGAAACAAAGGGAAACCAATTAAGGCAGCTAAAAAAATAAACAAAGGCCACAAAACGTGATTTAAATTCACAAAATATATAAACAAAAACTAAGAAAACCTTCAAATTTTCCTACTAAAAACGAAAACTTTAAGCAAAAAAGAAATCCAAAAGAGAGAGAGACGACACCTTATAGGACCCTGCTGCCGTGGTGCGTGGCCTGGGGCGTGGTGTGCCACTGCCACTGCCGCTGCCGCTGTTGTTCTCCCCAGCGGAATCGCTGGCTGCCTCCGGCAGGGAATTATTGCGCGATGTGCGTGGCATGGGCTTGGGCGGCGAATGGCTGCCGCTGGCCGCCGATGAGGATACCTCCTCGCTGCTGCCAGTCGAATGTTCATGCTCGGTGGGCGATTCCTTATCATCCTCCTGGGATTGGGACTGTGACTGAGCCTTCTCCTTCTCGGAATCCACCTTATATTTGGCCTCAAACTTGCGTATGAGCTCACTGCACTCGCCATCGGGCTGGGATTGAGCAACCTTCTTGCCATTGCTCTGATTGCTCTGATTGCTGTTATCGTTGCCGTTCTTCTCCTCAAAATTGTTGCCCTTACTGAGCATCACAAAGTGCTCGTTGTCATTGCGCTTGGCCATTGGCTTTGTGGAGCCCTTGGAGCGTTGATTCTCCAGATTCTTAACCAAGTCACTGAGATTTCCACGATGGATCTTGAATGGTGGCCGAAAATGTGTGGGTTAGAGGGGGGTAAGAGACCTAAGCTAAGAGAGTTCTTTCTTCTTTAAGCTTAAAATTAAAGATTATATAAACTTTCCTAAGATTCCTCCTAAACCCTTTTTGAAAAAGGCTTTTGTATACCATTCCCTAAGGTTCCTTTTTTAAATCTTTATATAACACATAAACTTACAATAATTGGCTCATCGCCATGTTCACGCTTGGCAGGATCCAGGCTCATCTTGGGCACTGCCTGATTGCTGCCATTCAGCCACTCGCCGGCCACCAGTTCCGTCTTATAGCCCATGGTCTCTGGATACAAGTCGGCATGGAAATCACGGTATGTCTACACATAGAAAAACCACCAGATTAATATTAAAGATTTCACATTTTCCACTCCATTTTCCAATCACCTTTCGTGGCACTTGATACATAATGGGTATGACCATATTGGAGGTCAGCTGCAGCACACGATTCACCTCCGCCTCCATCACTTTGAGTGCTCGCTTTGGCACCAAACAAGCGCCCTTTGTTTGCTCGCCGGTGTGACGCAGACCCTCAATGAAGTACGGATCCTTGTCTGTAACCTCCAGATAATTGATGGTCGTGTCACCCTTTCCGGCCAGGAATAACATATTGGTATCCGCATCGAATAGCGGCATCAGTACGCCCGTGGAGCAGTCCAATTCTAGGGTTTTCTCCGGTATCCCAAAGTTGCGTATATCACGGATGATCACCTGACGCAGGCGGGCCGCATCGAAACCGGTGGTTAGGATGCGCGTCTGATTGCCCAGCCAGACGACACGCGAATCCTTGATGCTCTGATGCGATTCAGCGGTCATTTGTATGGGCGAACCGGTGGTGGCCCTGGGATCAAAGATACGCACGCATTTGTCCTTGCAGCTGGTGGCCAAAACGGAGCCATCTTCGCGCCAGCTGGCGGATTGAATCACCTCGGGATGTTCATTGTTTGCTGGAGAGAGAGAGATTTGTGTTAGACTTACGAGTGGGGGGGTGACTCGGAGAGTATACAACTCACAGAAGATCTCCTTTTGGGTGCTGAGATCGAAGAGGGCCACACAGCCGGCGGCTGTGGAGTACATCAGGCCATCGGCCGTGGGATGAAAGCCCACGGTTTCCACGCGTCGCTGCTTGTGTGAGAAGACGGCCTCCGGATCGGAGAGCGACTGTTCCAGGCCCTTTTCGGGAATGTGCCAGATCTTGACCTGGAAGGAGTTAGCAGGAATTTTAAGAAAATGATGGAAATATTCTAAGAAATCCTAAAGAAAAGTGTTCAATTCAGGAAAATGTCAATGCAAAAGTTTAATTCAGGAAAATTCAAGTAAAAGCTGCAGTTAGAAGCGGAAAAGTAATAAAGGTGAAAACAGTTACATAAAAAAAACTTGACTTGGGGAAAGTTTGCACTGCACATTTTCCAATTTGAGCAAAAATTCTAGGAAATTCCGCATAATTCACGTTTTTCCTAATCTTTCTCAAGTTTAAAATTAAATTAAAGTTGATTTACTCAAGAAAAATGAATGAAAAACAAGCAAAAACTAAGCACAAGTGAAAGCTAAATCTTTCCAAAACAACATTCCAGTTGGAAATATCCTCCACATTCCACTTTATATTCCATATATTCCATATTCCCTGATTTTTGATTCCTTACCAGGCAATCCTGCGAAGCGGTGGCCAGCAGACCATCATGGAACGGCGAAAACTTGAGATCTGTCACTGTGTCCGTATGGCCATGGAGCAGCGGCATTGTCTTGCTCTTGCGTCCGCAATCATCCAGCGGCAGGACAGCCACACTGCTACCGGTATGCTCCCAGTTAAAGGCCATAAAGGCGGCCGAGGCGGCGATATTGTTGCCATAAGTCTGATAGCTGCCCACGCAGATCTCGCGGACGCAGGCCTCCGCCTTGGGCACAATGGGTGCGGCATTTTTGTACTTGGAAGCCTTGAAGCGCCACGCCATGATTCCGGTTAAATTCAAAGTTCCCAAGCTGCTCTGGACGTCGAGTGTTCTCTGGCGGAGTGTCGATTGTGGATTGGATTGTCCAGTCTCCAGTGGGCCAGTGCCTGTCGCTCTCTCGTTCAGTGCGTGCGTGTGTGTGTGTGGTTGCGTCTGGAAAATGGCAAGCATATCCGTGTGAGAGAGCGAATGTTAGTTGGTGTGATATCAGTGCGGGGGAGAGGGAAGCGGTGTGAGTGCGAGTGTGATATCACTCAACGGTCAGTGTGATATCACTGGGCAAGTGGCAGTGTGCGGCAGTGCCACTGAGTCACCTCATCCGATAAGGGGCACAATAAGCTAGAAATAAATAAATAATGAAAGGAGAGCGGCGGCCTGCTGCTAGTGCAGCTGCCGTTGCACTTGCCGCCGATTGAAAAGAGAAAGCTGGGCAAGAATGGTGCGCGATGGAACCACTGGTGGTCACAAAAGCCGGATGAGCAACTCTGGGACAGACTCTATGTGTGTATGCAATGTTTGTTTGTTTGTTTGTATAGCAGCAAAGGAAGCGAAAGGCGAAGGAAAAACATACATATCCAGTGACGCGCGATCCCGCCCCCATCTAAGGCGCTAAGGGTTAATATGTACCGCCACACCTAGGGGTTAACGATCCTGCAGAATTCACACAAACACCAACGCAACTGGCACTAGTGCACTAACATTAGCGCAAATGGTGCAGAAAATATACACTAACCACTTTTTCCTCTCTCCTTCTCTCTTCCTCTTCCTTGCACTGTTAGTGGATGTGGATGGTTAGTTATTCCCCAAGTGCAGTTTGCTGGGAGGCAGATAGCGAGAGAGAGAGAGAGAGAGCGGCGTAACAACAACAACGACGCGTGCGCCAGTTCAACTGTTTTTGTTAGAAAGCGGCAAAACAAATGACCACGAGCGGAAAAGGAGATGCTGGAGAGGAAGCAGCCGAGCAGGTATTGGCCAGCCACCAGGTAATGGGGTCAAGTGATTTAGAAAAACGAAAAGTGAACAGTTTTGCAAACTGTCATGGGGAGAGAGCGAGACAAGTGCATGGCGCAACCTGCAGGAGAGCTAACGGTTCCCGGTGCGGCGTGGGAGAGCACCGTAAAGGGAGAGCTCTCTCTCTCTCTCTGTCTGTTTCTAGCTTGGTTGGGGGTGGCTGGCCATACCAATACCAATGCGTTTCGGCAGCCGGCTAGCTTTTTGTTTTTCTTCACCTTCGCGTTTTGTTGTTGTTGCCATTTCACCCACTGCCCACTAAACACACACGTACGCACACACATACACGGTCCTGGTGGTTGGTTTTTGTTGCAGCTTTTTGTATGCATTTATTGACATTTTCCGCTAACGTTTTTTTTTTTTCTTGCAAGCGATTATTGGGTCTTACATTCTAGTGTTGCGTGCAATTAATTAGAATTGGTTTAAGGGGGCCTTTTCCTGCTTCCTGCTTGAATATTCCCCCCGCGCTTCCTTTTACGTTTTTTTTTGCAGCACACACCCTGGCGCCGGCAGCGACGAAGAACAAGAAAAGATGAAGCAGCGGCAGTGACAATGACAACTACAACAAGTACAGCGTAAGGAGGAGGCAACAACAACTGCGCATAGCCGACGCCGCCGCTTTTTTTTTATGGGCAAACAAAGGAGCAGTTTCGCACACACACACACACACACACCGACGCTTGCAAACGCGTACTCTCCGACACACACCCACAAAAGTTGCATTCGGTGCAACAACAAACACACGGAAGCCGCAAAGCGTCCTGCAAATATCTCGCGTACTCACGCTCACGCCACGCCAACGAAATGCCGCAGATAACGTCGCCAAACCGCAGCTCCGGCGGTAATTTCCAATCCAAATCCAAATGAAATCAATACAAAACTACGCTAGATCACAACCTTTTCTTTTTCGAACGTCCAGTAGAGCTGGGAAACTATCGATGGTACTATCGAGGTATCGACTTTTTCCTTTTTTTGAGCCACCATCGATAGTTTTTTATCACTATCGATAGTACGGGACTATTTTTATATCTCTGCTTTGTTGCTGAAATTTAGTAAGAAAAATGCAAACAAATATATATATATATGTATATATATATTTTTTTTTTTATAATAAAAATGTATTCTAAATTAACTTAAATTGGAGTTGGTGGTGAAAAATATTAACTGAATCTCAAAAGAAAGGGTGCGTCTACGCCACGTCTTCAGAGTCTAAGCGTATGTTTAGCAATGGTAATACAATTTTATTTGTGCAAAGTTGCTTGGATAGAATATTTATGTTAATTACTTAGTCAAAACATATTGAATAGTATTATAATTCTATTTGAAATTGCTATAACTTTAATTTGCAAAAAGAATCGTAAAAAAACGATACTATCGATAGTATCGAATTTTCGTTTTCAAAACATCGAAAATATCGAATGGTGTCACTATCGATAGTTTCCCAGCTCTAACGTCCAGTAGGGTGTAGGTTGTTGATAATATATCAAAATATCAATATATCGATATTTTTTTCTGAAAATGATACTAAAATATCTCAAATTGCCGCTTTCGCGGATTCTGATGCGATATATCGATATCTTGACGTATTTTTCACAGCCAGGGGAAGTACCTCGTTTGGTTCGAGTATCAGATGTGGTTCGAATACCAAAAATATCGTTATTCGATAATCAGGTTACATGCGATAACAACGCCAGTGTATCGATGCTGTGACATCTCTACATCGCATCGCTCTCTGCAGCAGCTCGCATTGTTATTTTTTTTGTATTTTTTTTGGCTCGAACGAGTTGGTTCGATGGCACCACCGTTGGCCAACAACAATAAGGTGCACCGTGAATATCGTTTTTTAACCAAAGTGAACACAATATCCGGAGGAGCTCGCGCGGATCGTAAACATATATTTATTGCTGCCTCCTCCTGCAGAGAGAGCGAGAGGGAGAGCGGGAGTGCGTGTGTGTGCGTGTGCGCGCCCCCCGATGTGAGTGTGTAGCGGGCGTGTGTGTTTCGGTTGGAGTGTGCGTGTGTATGTGCGCGTACAAATTTGGTGTGCGGCAAAGGCAAAGGAAACGGGAAAAGGAAGAGGAGAAGGAGGAGAGGCTGAGGCCGAGGGAGGCGCTGGAGCTGAAGCTGGAGCTCCTGGAAGTCCACATCCAAATCCCAAAACCGAAACCGAATCCGCAAAAAGGCGCTCATTATGAATATTCTGCAGAAAATCGGTGAGTACCATTTGGTTGCCGCCAAAGAAAAACAATAGGAAAAACGCAGATTTTTTTGTGCGATGGGGATTTTGTTTCCCATTTTCTTAGCTCTCGCTTCTCTTTTCGCTCTCTATGCCTGTGTGTTGGTCGGTGTGTGTGTGTGTGTGTGTGTGAGGCTGAGTGTGTTTGTATGCATCCTCCAGGATTTCTTGCCCCCTTCTTCTTCTTCGTCATCTTCGCTCTCCCCCTCATATAATTTTCAGCGTTTACCGTTCTGTGCATCTAACACACAAATACACGCAGACACAGAAACAGACAGACACACACACTCCTCATTTGTTGTTGTTGCTGCTGCTGCTGCTCGCTTTTGGGCTGTCAACAAGTCTATTTTTAGATGCTGCAGTTGCTGCTGCTGCTGCTGCTTCTTCCAGAAGTGTTAAACATTCGGAGCATCAACAACAACAAGAACAACAACGGCAACATCAACTTCCTATTGCCATACACGCCCCCGCCCATGCATTTTGCTTCCCACTATTGCTGCCGCTCCTGCTTCCCATCCTCTCATTTTTTTTTTGTGTAATTCTCGCAGAGATGCAAACGGTTGGGAACCCGACTAAAGCGTGTGTTTTTAGTTGGAATTCATATCCCATTGTCCACAAAAATAAACGAAACGAACTGCAAATTCTGATTAATTCCTGGCAAACTGCAGTCGCCATTATATCCTATTGATTCCCCGGCAGCAGCACCAACAGCGGCATCCTTTGTCCTTAATTCCATACATTGTCCTGATTATTTATTATTTTATTTGTTATTTATTTCCCGTTGCCATTATAATATTAATAAATTCATTTGGCCTAATGGCGGGGTTCCATCCATATTGACTTTTATGTTGTCCTCTCATTGATTTAATTTTGAATGAAAATAATATTGGTTTTATCCTTATAAAAGGTTCATTCTGTTTAAATATTTAATTGGATATTCATTAGCCGGCAGCCTGTGATTCCCCAGAAAATGCATAGGCAGGCGGGCCTCTTTGAGCCTTTCAAGCATATCATCATCAACACAGGCACAGGCACAGGCAGGCATCCGTTCGCTTTTGACCATTATCCTTTCGACTGCAGTCGCAGGTTTTGACTTTCAATTAGTGCGACGAGTAGAAGGAGTAGAAGAGAGAGAGAGCTTTGGGTTTCGGTTCAGTTCAGTCCAGTCCAGTCCAGGAGATGTGCCTGACAGCCTTCGACCGTGTTGGACTTTTTAATTAATTCCAGGCTATACATATCGCCTCAGTTCAGTTTCCACTGGCTATCGCCGGTTCAACTTCTGGTTAAAAGCGAACGGAGCCCAAAGACAACAGCTTTTCCGGGGAAAATAAATGTTTAATATTTCTGAATTCTGGGCAGCAACGAAACCTGAACTTGAACAATTTCCCCGCCATATGCATATGGATATTGCCCTTTTCAAGGTTGTTCTGGTGAGATTTTATGGATTTTTTTTAGCGTACATTGCAGGTTTTTAATATCCTTTCACGAAAGGAGTCATTTCCGACCCTATAAACCATATATATTCTTGATCAGAATTAACAGGCGAGTCTTTCTAGACATGGTTGGAAGAAAAAAATATTTTTCTCATTTTATCAAAATTTGATAAGGGGTTACATCATTAAAATTTAAAAAAAATTGATAAAAATTTTGATATTGTAAAATTCTTAATTAAGTATGCAGATTTTTTAACCCTTAAAAAATAAGCATAGAAATGTTTCCCGAATTAAATTTGAGGTTTTTTTTTTTTGACTTATAACGAAGTCTTGACATGTTTGACATGTTCATAAAATTATATAAAATTATTTAAATTATTTATTTATTTAATTATAAAAAAATTATATATATATATATTGAAGAAAGCGAATAAATGAAATTTTCTATATTGCCTTAGGGGCAAATTATAGCCAAAAAACTTATACATAAATTAAAATCCTAATTTATTAAAAAAAAAATATTTAGAAAACAATGGTTTAAAATTGTCAAAAAATTGTTGTAAAATTTTAATTTAATTTACCACTAGTTGTGAATGATAATTTATCTTTTAGAAACCAATATAAAATAAACTATTAGCTGGACAAGTTTTCTATAAATTTACATTAATTTTTTGCAATATTTTCTTAACTATTTGAGTTCCAAATTCTTTTTATTCTAAACCCACAAAAAAAAAACACAAGTTTTTGGACAGCGTTTATGCCCCTTTGTTTGCTGTTTTACCTATGTATTTACTTTATTTTTCCCATTTAGCAGAGTGCAAAATCTTAGACCCGCCAGCCAGCTGACTGACTGACTGCCTCTTATCAGTGTCCATTCGTTAGCGATGATAACACAGCACACAGCGCACACACACACTGGCTGTCACACACAATTCACACACATGCTCGAGCTCGACAGTAGTTCACTGAAAGTGCAAAAGCTGACAAAACTACCCACCGTCCTCCTCCTTCTCGACAGCTTTTGCTCTCAGTGCTGATAGTTTTTCTAGCTGAAAATAGTGAAGTTTAAGTCAAGATAGCTAAGAGGAGAATCTATAATCATTTATAAGGTGATAATCACACCTCATTTTTCCTCTAATAATATTACGTATACGTCAAGGTGCTCAATGGAAGATGTTTTATTTAAAGATTTATATCAAGCTCAAGTTTATATACAATTAATTGTTATTTAAGCCAACTGAAAAAGGTGAAAATAGGGTTAACATAGCCTAGCTAAGGCCTCAGCTCTAATGGCACTCTGCTCTGCCCATTGGCCGCAGCAGCGATTAGATTGTAAAAGTGACGGCGGCGGCGCTCATCATTGCTGCTTATTGTTACCGCTCGCGAGTTGGATCCGCCGCTGTTCGTTCGCTCGGTGGGGTTCGGTGGCTCGCTTGGCTCAGCGGTTGGGTTGGCTGGGTTGGGTGGCTCAGTTGGCTCTTCACTCCACTCCACTCACTGACTGAGTCAGTCAGTCAGTCGCACGCGAAATTTTCACAACATCGGTGGGTGCTCTGGCTGTGCTCGCTGCACCCCGAAAATTTGAAAATCAAATCGAACTGCGAATAAATACTAGTTTTAGTTAATGATACTAGAGAGGCCGGCACAGTGATATCATTAGAGGGCGATCCGCCCCCTAAGCCTAATCATTAATTCATTGATTCCGAAATTCATTGAACGCCTATTTCTTTGTTATTTTTGAGTGTTCAGTGTGATCAGTGATCGAGAAGCGATCGATTTCGATCGATTTGCGCCGCAAATTGAGTTGGAGTCGCTGATGCGTTTGCTCCAATTCCCGCGCCCCAACAACAACAACAGCAGCAACAATAATAATATAGACGGGGGAGGAGGTAACCCCTCGAATCGATTTCCGCCACAAAAAAAAAAATACGGAAAAAATAAACAAAAACAAAAACCATGCGCGTTCTCAACACTGAGCTGCGCCTGCGCTTTAAAAATCGCAAACCGCGACCCTTTAATCGCGCTGCCAGTGCCGATGATGCAATGGACATGGGACCGGGTTCTGGAATGGGTATTGGCGTGGGAGATCCCGCCATGCCCTCCTCCATCGATCAGCGCCTCAACGGAGCCACCAATATGCGTACGTACCTCTGGGAGATCATATAGTGTGTGTGCTTTTCAGATAAAATAGTGGCTACTTTAAAAGGAAACAAAATTTCTCTTAGGATATAAATTATTTCTCTTTTGTTATTTAAAATAAAAAATATACAGTCTAAGGTATTCATTTTTTTAAGCCCCTAAAAAATTCAGATTTTTTATAGGAAGCTAATTTCTATTTTCTTTCTATTTCTTGTATTTTGGAGTAATTACAAACGGGAACTTCTCCCCTAAAAAATTTGTGTGCTCACAAGCTAATTTATCATTTTTTTCTTATCGTCAGAGCACAAAAGCCTAATGTCCCTGCTCGTTTGTTTCAAGATCAAAGTCGGGCCTTTTCTAAATTCTTTAACAAACACAAGAATCTTATGATCATTTCTTGCTGTGCAGTTTTCTGCGTTTGTGCGATTTTCGAATCGAAAAAAAAAAAAAAAAAAAAAACAATTGCCAGTCCCCAGTCCCCAGTTTCCATTTCCATTTCCACTTCCAGTTCCTCTGCCTCCCCCCCCCACTTCCACTTCCAGTTCCAGTTGAATATGTAATGGCCTTGAGCACGGGACAGAGATAGCTAGAAGCCAGAACAGAGATAGCAATGTGCGGAGCTCTCTGGAATGTGGAATGTAGAATGCGATCATTCGTCGAGATAATGGGAATAATGGAATAATGGAGACGACGACGGACAAATCATCATTTCCCAGCATTTCCAACGTTTTCAGCCTAGCCGCAATCGCAATTGCCTCGGAATTAGGCGCGCATAATCGAGCAAATTGATCGAAGAATCCCAAGTAGCCAGAGCAGTCACATTACTATCATTGGATGGGGTTAGATCGAATCGGATCGGATCGAAGATGAATCAATTGCCGATAAATTGGCCATCTGACACATTAAGATATATTACGGTTATTCGTAGGGCATACACTGTTTTCATTGCTAAAAAGCAATTTCGATGGGGCCTTATCTCTAACAAGCACAAAAAATATATATATATATTGGGAAATACCCGATTTCCATACTCATTTCTTAAGGTTTCCAATTTTGTAGGGTTTAAAATGAACTCATTTATGGGAATGTGTTTATCAAAAATGGATCAAATGAATATATAAACGTAAAAAAAATTTATAATCAACATAATTAATATGATTCATAAAATTTAAATAAATAATAATATATAAATAAATTATTAAAAATTTTAAATTTGATCACATTTAATTATATTTGAAATAAAAGAGAAAATATAGTAGTATTAGTATTTTGCTTACCTCTTTTGAACATGAATATTCAAATAAAATATATATATGCGCTAAAAGTTATAATATATAGCATATTTGGATTGATTTATGATCGTAGAACAGGATGCTAGGCCATAAAGTTGATATTTCCTAGATAAGGATACAGGTTATATACCTCCTATAAATAGTTATATGATTTATACTGCATAATGGATATTGAATATTGAATATTACATATTTCATAATTAATATAAAACATTGTACAGAATAGAACGACTAATATCATTCGCTGTTATGTGCCTTATGTTTATTCCTAACCCGATCTGATATGGTATGGAATATGGTATGGAATGGTATCGTATCTAATCTAATCGCCCTGCTCCATGTCTGTGTCAACACATGTCCGTCCACATTGTTGGGATTGTCAGCATTTTGTGATGTGATGGGGATGGATGTGTGTGTGTAGGGTGCTAGGGTGTGGGGTGTGGGGTGTGGGGTGTGTGTGTGTTGTTGGTTGTGTATTTGCCTACGACATTTTGGCATGCAGCAAACGAATGAAAACATTCCCCGCCGAATGCGAGATGAAAATGTAAATGTAAATGTAAATGTAAATGGGGGATTTGTGTGGAGATAAAAAGGGTTTTGTTTAATTGTTGTTGATTGAACAATTTCGTGTTTGGCTTTCACTACTGCACTTTCTAATAGGTAGGAAGCTGGCTTGCTTTTGCTGCTCGGTCACCTGTTGCCGCAGTAAATTCACTTTTGCACTTGAAAGAAAAATGTTTGGAGAAAACTTTGCAGAAAGTGTTTCCTAGAAACACGGATTCTAAATATTTCAAAAATCTATAACCACAATTTAGAAAATTCTTGATAAAACTCTAAATAGAAATGATTTGAATATGGAATACGTGGAAAGCCTAGCTTTTATTTGCAGCTTCCAGGAATCTTTCCTATTTGCTTGAACTTTCAACTTTCCGTTTGTGGCCAGGATGGAAATAGAAGAACTGGGAGCATGGTTGGTGTCCCACCCCCTCCCCACTCATGATCCCGTATGAAAAATCTGCATGGGCAGACATGTGTGTGACCTTTTCAAAATAGTTGCCATGTCTCCGATTGACGGGAAATGTATTTTTCCAAAGTGAAAACTTATTTCCCGGGAATATAACCAGTATTCTCTGTTCTGTGGACCAACAAAAGAGGGAAGTGAACGCACAAGTGTCAGGGATTGATGGCTTTGTGGCCATGGCGGAAGCCACTGTGTCCACTTGCCAACTTGCCAGCTTGCCACTTGCATGTTATGTTGACAATGCGCACAAAGGCGATTGCCGGGCGGCCAGGTTACCAGGAATCCGGGAACACAGGAGAGCACTGGCAGGAGCCAAGGTCAAAGGCGATTCCGAGTGCGATTCCTGGGAATAATTTGCGTCCGCTTGCGGCTGATAGGTGACATGCTAGATGTTGCGAGCTGGAAGCTGGATGCTGAATGCTTTGAGCTGGCGGGTCAAAGGCTACTCTACTGGGAATTTGCTCGATTGCCCGCCCAACTTTGACCCTGACCTTAGGGAACAATCCACAGGGGCGTTGCCACTGCCACTGGGAGTGAGATGCTGGAGCGTAGGGCCAACAGATGCCTCTATTTTTTGTGTCTTTTCTCAATGACTTGAGTTGGAAAATTATTTAATTGAAATAAGCAGCGATTAAGATTGAGAGATAGCGGCAGAGTCAAAGGGAAACGTGGGCCACTTGTGTTGCAAATGCTGTCAGTGGCAATATTTCAAAATAAAGTACATATACATACATACATATGTACAGTACAAATTAAAAGGCTTTAATGGAAACAGCATTTATTTATTAATTTTTCGCTAAATTCTTGATAAAACAATAAGTTCCAAGATTCTATATAGTAATTAAAGAATCATTTCTGGCTTGTGGCTTTTGTTTACTTACTTTTCTAACTAAAAGCAAAGTACTGACAAGCTGATTATTGACATTGTATAACGTTTTATATAAATATTTACACATGGATTACCTAAGAAATTTTAATCTGATATTGATGTAAAGATAATCAGCTATTAGTCAGAAATCTTGCATTAAATTAAGTAATTATTTTACACTCATAAAAGTAAAATTGTAGTTATAAGTTTAAAAAGCAGTAAAGGGTTCATTTCTGAGCCCATTAATCATATATATTCTTGATCAGCACAAACAGGAAAATCTTTTTGATTTTTTGTCTTAGTTATGAAATTTTAAAACTTTAATTTTCCTAAAAATTATTATATAAAATTGGGGGAAACTTTTATATTAAAAATAAAGGATAAATGTTATAGCTTTGTTTTGCCCAAAAAATCTCACCGCGAAAAGTCTCACACGTATGCACATATAATTCCCAACTGGTTCTAACATTCCGGGGGAATGAAGTGAAGGTAGCAAGCGTAGATATAGCACGTGTGGATACTTCTTAGTGCTAATAAAACCTATATATATATTATTATTGTAATATATAATTATAAATGTATAACCTAAAAGTAAAGCAGGTTTTTCAGGGCTCCTTAACAAAATTAGCTGATAGTCAAGACACTCCTTCTCCATATCCCATATGTAATCAAATGTTGCTTATGCAATATATAAAGTGAAATCATGGCCCCCCCTCCTTCCTTGCTCTTCCTCTCATATCAAGTGCTCTTCTTTTTTATTTATATGGAAAGTATAAGGTCAACGGAAAGCCATATCTTTGAATGTTTATGTTTAAAGGTGACTTGCTGCGGGTCATCTCTGTGTGGTCATCACAAGTGGGCAGATGGGAAGATGGGCAGTTGGGCAGCTGGAAAATGGTAGATGGATAATGGTAAATGCAAGACATGTGTGTCTGTGTGTGTGTGTGCGTGTGTGTTGTTTCGGTGGCGCCCAAGTGAAATCTTGACTCTGGCTTGGGGCCAGCAGTAAGTCCATTGTCAGGTGTCAGGTGGTGGCACTATAAACTGTAGTGGGTAGTGGGTTGTTGTGGCTCTATGGTCACGTATGAAATGGCGCTTTCCCTCTGGTACCCAGCCCTGATGAGTGTGCCTGTGTTTGTCTGTTTTGTCAACTCGATTGTGGGCTTCTTCTTTAAACTGCCTTTGTAATTTTCACTTACACAATTGCCATTCAGCACTTTTGCTTTCCTATGCATTTCGTTTTTCATACTCGGATCGTATAATATATTATAGTATAGTATATCGTCGTCGTTGTCTGTCAACACCATGTCTATGTCATAATTGTTCACCTGACCGCCCAAAATCTTGGCTCGCTTCCCCCTTTCTCCTTCTGGGGCTTTGGCAAAACTTTCATTCTTTCTTTCTGCCTGCCTGACTTTCTGACTCTCTTGGCTTTTTCGGTCTGTCTTGCTTTCTGGCCAGAGTTTTCGAAGCGTGTCTATTGGACAGTTACATTGTGCGGCCGGCTGCAAGTTGTTTGGAATTGTTTTGGATTGTTCATAAGCCCCGTTTTATTTTTTTTTAACCGAAACCTCAAAACCGAATACCGAATCCAAAGCCGCCGAATTGAATTGGAAGATTTCATTCCCGCCATTCATTTATTGTTGGTTGAACCGAAAGTGAAAGATTCGAAAAAAAAAAGAGCCAGCGAGCATTTCATTGAGAATTGAGAAATCCAAATTAATTGGGCGGCGGAGCGGGGTATTCACCCCAAATCACATTTAAGCGTTTTCATTTAGTTGATAATCGGATTTATTGCTGCGATTAATTTGCAAAACTTT